ACAGCGTGAGCAGGGGAGGGTCAGAGAGAGAGGGAGTCACAGACTCTGAAACAGGCTCCAGGCTCTGAGCTGGCAGTCAGCACAGAGCCCGATGCGGGGCTCGAACCCACGAACCGTGAGATCATGACCTAAGCGAAAGTCGGACGCCCAACCGACTAAGCCACCCAGGCGCCCCTGTCCCGATTCTCTAACCCAGTGGTTTCCAGACATTTTTTAAAAAACACACTGCATTTTATTTTAGAGCAGTTTCAGATTCATGCCAAAATTGAGCAGGAAGTACAGGACTCTGCGAACCCTTGCACACATGCACGTCTTCTGCCGCTGCCAACATCCTGCATGAGAGCGGCACGTTCAGTGAGCGCGCACCCACGCTGATGCCTCCTGTCACCCAGCGTTCACAGTGGACATTAGGGTCACTCTTGGTGTCGTCCATTCTATAGATTGTGACAAATGTGTGGTGACGGGTATTTGCCATTATAGTGTCACATAGGATAGTTTCACTGCTGTAGAAATCCCCTGTGTTCTGCCTGTTCACCCTTCCCTTCCCACTGATCCCCAGCAGCCAGTAATCTTTCTACAGTCTCTCTAGGTTTGCCTTTTCCACAGTGTCGTGTAGTACATAGTCTTGTCACACAGGCTTCTTTCACCTAGTAAGATGCATTGAGGATTCCTCCATGTCGTTTCATGGCTTGACAGCTTACTTCTTTTTAGCGCTGAATCATATTCCATTGTCTGCATGTGCCCAGTGTAATTAGTCGTTCATGTACGGAAGGACACCTTGATTGCTTCCAAGTTTCAGCTGTAAAGCTGCTGTAAACATCTGTGTGCAGATAGGTTTCCAGCTCATTTCAGTAAATACCAAGAAGCATCATTGCTGGGTTGTATGGTAAATTTGTTCAGTTTTATAAGAAGCTGCCAAAGCCATCTTCCCAAGTGGCCGTTGTTGATTTCTACAGCAGTAGAGCTTAATTTTTATTTGTAATTACTTTTAATTTAAAAAATAAGAGTTCTAGTATTTCCTTCTGACAAAGCTACGGATCATCTCTCACTGTTTGGAGAGTGCACACTCTTTCTTGCCTCGTGACATTTGTCCTCTTCAGAGGCCACCCTTTGTGTGGCTGGTTTCTTCTCATCCTGCAGGGCTCAGTTTAATGCCACTGCTGTTTTCTGATCACCCCTTCTAAATGTGTTCCTCTTTTTTTTTTCTACCATTGCATCCTGTTTCCTTCATAGTACTTTTTTTTTTTTTAATTTTTTTATTTATTTCTAGGAGAGAGAGAGACAGCATGAGCAGGGGAGGGTCAGAGAGAGAGGGAGATACAGACTCTGAAATTGGCCCCAGGCTCCGAGCTGGCAGTCAGCATAGAGCCCGATGCGGGGCTCAAACCCACGAACCGCGAGATCATGACCTAAGCGAAAGTCGGACGCTTAACCCACTAAGCCACCCAGGCGCCCCCATAGTACTTTTTTGAAAGTAAATGACACACTTCTAAATTCATGGGTCAAAAGAAAAGTCTTCAAGGTAATCAAAGTATACCTAGAACTGGATGGAAATGAAAAAAAATACAAGGTGTCAAAATTTTTAGAATGCAGCTGAAGTTATGTGGAGAGGGCAGTTTATAGCATCAACTGCCCACACTAGGAAGGAGGAAAAGTCTCACATCAGTAATCTTAGCTTCCGTCTCAAGAAACAAGAAAAACCAAACCAAACACTTTCAAGCAAGTCGAAGAGCAGAAATCACTGGAATTGAAAACAAACACAATAGAGAACAATTAATTGAATAAAAAGCTGATTCTTTGAAAACATCAAGAAAATCTAGAACTGCTATCAGGGGTGACTTAACATACAAAAGAAGACACAGATTGCTGATATGAGGAAGGAAATAGATATAATTGCATGTTTTCAGCTATTAAAAGAGTAATAACATACTATAAACAGCTCTATGCATTTAAATGGAGCAGTTCTTTATGGATTCTTTTTTTCTTTTAATGTTTATTTTTGAGAGAGACCAAGCATGAGCGGAGGAGGGGCAGAGAATGAGGGAGACACAGAATCTAAAGCAGACTCCAGGCTCTGAGCTGTTAGCACAGAGCCCGGCGCGGGGCTCGAACCCATAAACCGTGAGATCATGATCTGAGTTGAAGTCAGACGCTTAAGCTACTGAGAACCCAGGCGCCTCTGGACCATTTCTTTTAAACCGCACCCTATCAGAAGTTATCCACTATGAAATAAATACTCTAAATAATTATGAATTGATAACTTAAAACCATTTATAAAAGAAACTGGGAACAAGGCAAGGATGTGTGCCCTCCCCACTCCTGCTGAGCATTGTACTGGAGGTTCCAGACCTGGCAGTTAGGAAAGGAAATAAAAGGCATACAGATTAGAAAGGCCTGAAGAAAGCTGTTCCTGTTTGCAGATAGGACGAGTGTCTTATGTATAAAGTCCTATGGAATCTACATTTAATTTTCTCTAACTCTAGAAGTTCTTTTTCATACTGTGTTCCTTACCATTCACTCTTTGAGCTTTTCTGTTGGTGTTGACTTCATGGAGGAAGTGAATCCCTGCCGGGAGCTGCACCGGCCTCTCTGGCTGGCAGTCACAGCAAAAAAGTGGCAATGTTTGCAGCTCCTCCCATGAGAAATGAAAACTGGTATCTCCTTGTGCTACTTTTGGTTCATGTTGGATGTAAGCCTGCTGGTATTGACCAGGCCTCACAATATTCCATATCAGACCCATGTTCTGAACACAGATACCTCATAAGGAAAAGTATATTCCTGCCTTTGCAAAAGAGATTTTAGATGAAAGCTCTATGGGCGATTGTTGAAAGGCTCTTCCTATGGGCCTTGCAGATCCGAGATTTAGGGGGTTAGGAACACAAGAATTACAACTGAGCCTGGCCCTGAAACCAAGGGACTATTTTGGGGTTAAGAGCAAAATAGAGGGGCGCCTGGGTGGATCAGTCAGTTGAGCGTCTGACTTCGGCTCAGGTCATGATCTCACTCGTGGGTTCGAGCCCCACATCGGGCTCTGTGCTGGCAGCTCAGGGCTTGGAGTCCGCTTCAGATTCTGTGTCTTCCTCTCTCTCTACCTCTCCCCTGCTCATGCTCTGTCTCTCTCTCTCTCTCTCTCAAAATAAATAAACATTAAAAAATTAAAAAAAAAAAAAAAGAGCAAAATAGAGAGAGTTGACGTCCTCCTCAGTCTGATGTTATTTTAGCCAGACCAAACTTGGGGGTTAATGGTTAAACAGAAATAATTGAGTGGGGGTGGATATCGGTCACCATCTAATGGTAAGAGACCTTGCAAATTTGTCTCAACCTCATAAGGAGTGTTCTTAACTTATGAGTTCAGACAGGCTCCCAACAAATCCCCCTGGAGGCGTGTCCTACAGTTTTTTGAAGTAGATGGACTCTGTGCTCTTGTTGACTTACACCAGTATTTTATAACCATGTACTAGGATAGCATGCCGGTTTCTATGAGAATTGGAATCAACTTCCCTGAAGTAACATAAATGCCCTAAAACTTGAGCTCTAATCTGAGACAGTTGGCTTTTCCATTTCACCTCTCTGCGCCTCCCAGCTAATAAGAGGGAAACGATCAAGATAACCACTCCTGTGTTCTTATCTCCACGTTTGTGTTTATTAACTCACAGTTTTATCATGTAGGTGTTGTATGTTGTGATGAAACTTTGGGAAACACTGATGTAGAGTTGTATAAATTGATGTCAGATATGATAGGAATCATTTGAAAAGTCATTTTCTTTATTGACATGTTTGAGGTATTTATATTGTCCTTACTCGTTTGTGCTCGATAACTGATTTGAAGCTATTTCTACAGAACTGTGTGGTGTTATACAGTTGAAGAGGCAGATACCCGTGGGAGTCAGTCTTACTATACCAGCCAAAAACTTTGCATTTATCTCTTTATGGGAAGAAAATCCTGCGTTAGCAGCTTTGGTTTTCATTGTTTTGGGATATGATTCTCAGTGCATCTCAATGTTTCTGCGGTTCTTATGAGCAGACACTGCTTTGTTCCTGACTTTTTTTTTTTTAATGTTTATTTGCTTTTTGAGACAGAAAGACAGAGCATGCATAGGGGAGGGACAGAGAGAGAGAGGGAGACCCAGAACCTGAAGCAGGCTCCAGGCTCCAAGCTATCAGTACAGAGCCTGACAGGAGGCTTGAACTCACCAGCCGTGAGATCATGACCTGAGCTGAAGTCGGATGCTCAACCTCCTAAGCCACCCAGGCGCCCTGTCCTGACTCTTTTTCTTAAGTATGTGTGTATAGCAGACCTTGGAAGGTAGAGACAATGGCTTCCTTAATGCAAAAGACAGGCTTGCTTGCTGCCCATTCATTATAGGCGGCTCAAGGTTTCTCTCCTGTAATGTAGCCAGCTCACTGTTCGTATCCTGTCCCTTGTCCCTCTTGATGTTGCCTTCGGGGCTGAGGAATTGATGTAGGAAGGAAGGTCCCTTGGCTATTGTCATTGCTGTGAGAAATAAACTGTCCTTTTTCTCTGGTCAGGAATATGTTGTCTTCTGCCAACACCCAGGAAACTGGCATTCTGATTCCTTAGGTTACAAGTAGAATAAAATCTCATCCCCTTGACACAGTTTTTGATGTTCTTGATACATTTTACACGTGTTATTAATCAGACGGCTTCAAAACAGAACAGTAGAGTATGCACTGTGTCCCATGCTCTGTTGGACCCACGTGGAGGGACATAAGATATTAGAGGTGAAACAGCTTGTCTGAGGGCCGGCTGCACACACTCTGCGTCCTCAAGTTGTTCTTGTCTCAGAGGCAGTTTGCATTAACGGCATTAAGTACCAGTTAAACACTTTTACTGTATTAAGTGTAAGTTAATATAATTTTTAATCTTTTTGTCTGTGTGGGATTATTGAAATTTAAATTGTATCAGGACTTTTAAGTTCAATGCTTTGATAATTTTCTTTTTGATAACGTAACTAATATTTTTTTGTTTTTTTTAAAAGAGTTGTTCTCTGTATACTTCAATCTGTACCTTAAACCTGCACAAGACATTAATAGAGTTTTAGTGGCTAGAATAATTCATGCTGTGACCAGAGGATGCTGTTCGCAAACTGATGGCTTAAGTTCCAAATTATTGGATTTCTTTTCCAAAGCTATTCATCATGCAAGGTAATCTAATCTCATTTTGTTGTGTATTGAAAATCCATTTGATCTTCTAGCAAGTGTATCTTTTATTTTCAGTGGTTTTTTTTTTTTTTTTTTATGTTCATTAATTTTGAGAGAGAGTGCGCAAGTAGGGGAGGGACAGAGATGGAGAACATTAAGCAGGCTCCACGCTGTCAGCCCAGAGTCCGACGCAGGGCTCAAACTTGCGAACTGTGAGATCATGACCTGAGCTGAAATCAGGAGTCAAACACTGAACTGGTTGAGCCACCCAGGTGCCCCAAAAGTCTGTCTTTTAATTAGCATCTACAAATGTTACCAACTAAAAAACAAAACAAAACAAAAACACTGGCCCATTTAGTAGAATTAATAGGTTCCTAAAGAGTCGGTTCCAGCACTTCTTGAATATCCAAAGGCAGAACATGAAAATGACGTTCTTGAGTGGGAGATCAGTACTGCTTTATTAAAAAAGATAAATATCCTCTTAAGTAGTTTGATTTTCCCCATTTTTGAGGCTAGATGTTCCAAGAAAAAAATGGACTGCATTTTGTATGTATCAGTATCTTAAACTTGTCAGGCATTCGCGGCCTTACTCAGTCTATAACATAAAATGTATACCTGGTGATATTACAGGTCAGTTCTGTATCATTTTGGGCAGGCTTTGAGCAGCAGAGAGAGCTGGTGTCCTAGCAGCAGATAATGTTGTTGCTGTTACATGTAGGCCCACTAAGATTTTTTGTTTCCTGAATAGTTCTGAAACTAAGGCTACTGTCATTTGAAGATGAGATGTCTTTTTCTTTGCAGCGGCAACTTCATAACTGTCTTCAGTGTTCACTGCCTGCCCTGTTAAGCGGAGTGTGTTTGTTTTCTGTGACAGACAAGAGAAGAGCTCCGCGGGTCTGAACCACATCCTAGCAGCGTTTATTATCTTCCTCAAGACGTTGGCTGTTAACTTTCGAACTCGCGTGTGTCAGTTAGGAGATGAAGTTCTTCCTACCTTGCTTTATATTTGGACTCAACACAGACTTAATGATTCCTTAAAAGAAGTGATTATTGAATTATTTCAGCTGCAAATTTATATCCGTCATCCAAAGGGAGCTAAAACCCAAGAGAAAGGTAACAAAATGAAGTTTTTGCTGTTTTGAATTTGCTTCTTTATTGAAGCATAGGAGCTTAAGTATGAAATTTGTATTTTGTAGGAGGTTATGACCTTCCTGTGGCTTACTGTATGGTATTAGTAATGGTATTAGTCTACAAGGATATTTTTCACACGTTTTTTAGAATTTGAAGTTGTGGTAGCAAATCATATTGTGCCCTGCTGTTTGGTTAGTGCATTGCTAAGCATCATGAGGGAACACATATGACACGCTGTCCCCTCTAGGAGCTGATGATGCAGCAGTTAGGTGCTAAAAGATGTTTCTCAGACTGTAGCATGAGAGAGTTCAGAGAAGGGAGGGTCTTGTGTATTTACATACGGCTTTTGTTAGGAGGTAGAACAGGTGCGTGTGGACTGCAAACAGTCAGATTGGTCAGTTCCTCAGGGAGATGTGTACACAGTGCCTTAAACCCATACTTATTCCAGGCCCCTGTTTGCTGGGAAAACCAGAAATGAATGATTTCTTCTCCGTGATACCTTTACCTTTGTCTTTCATCAAGAGAGTATTGTTTACTAGTACATATTGCATATTTGAAAACAGCTAAGATAGTAGATCCCAAAAGTTGTCATCACAAGGAAGAAGCTTTTTTTTTAAAAATAATTTTCTAAGGTATGTTAATTAGACTTACTGTGGTCATTTCATAAGATTATACAAATACTGAATAATTACGTTGTATGCCTGAAACTAACGTTGCATCGCAGTTATACCTCTGTTGCTGGGATGGTGCAGCTTCATTCCGTAGACGGGAACTTTATTGGGCAGAACAGGAGCTGAATGAGTCCCCCCATGCTCAGGCTCTGTTTACCTTTGGGCTTGTAATGGCCTTTGGATGAATTCATCACGGCTAGTATAATGACCGTATTAGGAAATCATGCTACACCAAATGATAGCGGGTAAAATGGAGGAAAACAGTTATAGCCAATTTTTTTTCAAAAGTAACTGTCTATGTTTAACAGGCTCTCCTAGTACATGTAGTAGAATATTCGTAGCCCGAGAAACTACCGGAGTCCAAGAATGGTGGATTTTCTCAGTTTGTCATCTTTCACACAGTTGTCTCGCCAGGATGAAGATCAGGCTTATTTAGGGGATGGCGTGACATGTTTAGGGTTGTAGTTAAAAGTATATTTAGGATGAAAGTTGACAGGATGGTAAATCTGCCAGAAACACTAATGCAGTGTGAGACTGTATTACTAAATTTTATGGTTCTTCTTGGGGAGTAATAGCTCCTTTGTTACCCCACACTGGTCGGATGGCAGTGGGAGTATTCTGTCCAACAGAGGAGTATTCTGTCCACCAGATTTTGGAGAGTCCCCATCTGAAGAGAGACATAGTGGACTGGAGTGTGTTTAGGGAAAGATGACAGGAATACTGAGAAGTCTGGGTAACATGTCATTTGTATACCAGTTAAAGGGACTGCTAATATTTTTCTCTAAAGGATGTACAGAGAACTTGGTCCTCATGTAAATGACAGAGCATGTTAATTACATTTGCCTCAGGGGAGAGAGGAAATTAGAGTTTGATTGAGATTTTGATTGAGTTGATTAGAGAAAAATCAGATTAGTGAAGAATTTCCTAATTTGGGTATTTCCTAACGGGTAACTTGAGCATGAAGTGGACACTGTTACAAAGTAGAGTTTGCTTAGGATATTGTCAGAAGAGGTATTAGTACTGAGTGGGAGGTTGGACCAGTTTCCACCTCAGCAGCTGAATAATTTTGTGGGAGATGGTGGGGCAAATGGAGTGTGTACGCAGATTATAGTCTCATTTTTTGAATTACAGGTGCTTTTGAATCAAGTAAATGGAAAGGTATCTTATACAACATATATGATCTGCTAATTAACGAGATAAGTCATATAGGAAGCAGAGGGAAGTACTCTTCAGGCTCCCGTAATGTTGCCGTCAAGGAAAACTTGATTGAGCTGATGGCAGACATTTGTCACCAGGTATAGTAGCTTGAAATTTTCCATGAATTTCCTTTTATTTGATTTTTGAGAGAGAGAGAGAGAGAGGATCTTAAGCAGGCTCTAGTGTGGAGCCTGATGTAGGTCTCTGTCTCACGACTGGTGAGGTCTTGACCTGAGCCAAAATCGAAGTGGATGCTTAACCAACTCATCTACCCAGGTTCCCTTTGCTGGGCTTTTAAAATGTGCGTTCTAAAAAAAAGCCTTGTCAAGTGATTTTGTATATGTAACTGTTCCTTTCAAAACACTATAAATATTTGAAATTGCTCTTCTGACTTAATAACTATTTTGCACATATGAACTTGGTGAAAACTAGTGATGAACTCTTCATTCTTAAAAGGTTGTCTGTAGAAAATCAGAGTACTCTAACCCTAATGTTTCTTGTTTAAAACATTTTTTTTCTACTGAGTTAGAAATCGCACAGCATACAAGTATACAGTTGAGTGGTTTTTAGTATTTTCACTACATTGTGCAAGCGTCACCACTGTCTGATTCCGGAATATTTCTATTACTTCCCAAACAGACTCTGTACCTGTTGTCAGTCTTAATGCCCAGCTTTTTCAGTCTTGAGCAACTAATCACTAAGCTATTTTGTCCCTAAAGATTTGCTTATTTTGGACATTTCATGTAAATGGAATGGAAATACAACTGTAAACTGCATGGAGACAACATGTAGTCTTTTAACCATGTTGTGCCAGGAACTAGTAGTTCATTCTTTTTTATTGCCAGACAATGTTCAGTAGTGTGGGTATATTACATTTTGTTTGCCCGTTCATGAGTTGATGGCTTAATGTTTTTTTTTTTAATGTTTTTATTTTATTTTTGAGAGAGATGGGGAGAGAGAGAGGGGCAGAGCATGAGCGGGGGAGGAGCAGAGAGAGAGAGAGAGGAAGACACAGAATCTGAAGCAGGCTCCAGGCTCTGAGCTATCAGCACAGAGCCTGATGCAGGGCTTGAACCCACGAACTGTGAGATCATGACCTGAGCCGAAGTCAGATGCTTAACTGACTGAGCCACCCGGGCACTCCTGTGGCTTAATGTTTTTTAAGTAAAATTTTTTTCCCAGCAATTTGGTTAACATCCTGGGTAATTTCATTTGTCAGATATTTTCTTAATGCTAAACTTATAATACTCTTTCTTAATTAAAAAAAACTTTAAAAAATTTAATCCCATTGAAAATAGAAATTTCTGGGGTGCTTGGGTGGCTCAGTCGGTTAAGTGTCCGACTTCGGCTCAGGTCATGATTTCACAGTTCATGGGTTCGAGCCCCGCGTCGGGTTCTGTGCTGATAGCCAGCTCAGAGCCTGGAGCCTGTTTCAGATTTTGTGTCTCCCTCTCTCTCTGACCCTCCCCTGCTCATGCTGTCTCTCTCTCAGAAATAAATAAAATATTTTTTAAAAAATTGAGATTTCTGGTTTACTTTTAGATGTCCTGGTGCATTTAGTAAATGGCCTCAAGAAATAAAACTAATACCTTACTTGGTAATATGTGCTTCCTGGAGAGCCATTCCAGTCCTGTAAAATGTTTGTTCATTACTGTATTATCATATTTATGTATTTTCATAATATATTCCCATAAGTTGCTCTTGACTTCCCTATGACATTTTTCCCTCAGGAACTATTAGAAAACAGGAACCGTGTAAAAATAAAAATAATAAGTAAGTTGTCTTTTTGTTATTTTACAGGTTTTTAATGAAGACACCGGATCTTTGGAGATTTCTCAGTCTTACACTATCACACAAAGAGAACTTAATGATTACAGTGCAGCTTGCAAAAAGAGGAAAATAGAATTAGGCTGGGACGTCATAAAAGATCATCTTCAGAAGTCACAGAATGATTTTGATCTTGTGCCTTGGTAAGATGTTCTCTTTTTTATTGTCATCCTGGTCTCATTTAGCTTTTCTCACAAGACCTCCGGTACAACGGCCTGGCCGTAACTAGGTCATTTGTCCACTCCTGAACCAGTCGGTGGCAGAGGGGAAGGTGGTTGCCAGGACGTGTTGAGGCCAGCCACCATGGCTCCTGTGCTGGAGCTGGGCCAGGCCACCTGTCCTAAGCACCCGGCCTTAGCAAGGGAGACAGGGACAGCAGCCTGGGAGGCAGTCAGTCGTGTGTGCTTCGTGGAATTTCCCGAGTCGTGCATCTCAACACAGACATTTTAGCAGGTACGGCACCTGCTTTCGTCTTGGGAAGAAATTCAAGATGGCATTCAGAAATCACAGAATAATTTGGACCTCTTGCCACAGTAAAAGATTGTCTTGTTAAAATTTTGCTGGGTGCAGCATTCACAGTTGCTTAAATGATTTAATGAATTGTGAACCTCTGTGATAGCATAAAATATCAGGTCTGGTAGGAGTCTTTAGAATTCATCCAGTCCACCCTGTTTGCTTTATCAGACAGAAAATGACACCGAGGAAGCTTAGGCAGCTTGACCAAGGACACTTAGACATTTGTAGGTTGCAGTCGAGCTTCTGTGATCCGTGCCTTGGTCTTCCCCATGTTAATGTAATAGTTAAATAGAATTGCGTTGTCAGGGGGGAATCATCTTGGCTTAGGTACTTAGTGCTTAAGCTCATATTTATTTTATGTAGTGGAGGATCCCTATTTCAGATTCTTCAATTTGTTCATTTAGTCTAGAGTTATTGATTACTTGCTGTGTGCCAAGCCTTATAGATGGAAGGATAAATACGATAAAGATCTTCTTCTTGAGCAGTACATATTCTAAGAACTCGCAGCAAATATTTATTGACCTAACTGAACTAACATCTAGGGAGAACAAGTTGTTTTTTTGTTATTGTTGTTTGTTTTTTTGTTTTAGAGGAATATTCTTGGTGGCTAAAGAGCAAGGATGGGTGTGATAATACAGAAGTAGAAAATTGGTCTTTTAGGGGCATCTGGGTGGCTCAGTCGGTTAACTGGCTGACTCTTGATTTCGGCTCAGGTCATGATCTCACAGTTCATGTGAGAGATTGAGCCCTACATCAAGTTCTTTGCTGAGAGTATGGAGCCTGCTTGGGATTCTCTGTCTCTCTCCCTCTCCCTCTCCCTCTTTCCCTCTCCCTCTTTCCCTCTCTCCCTCTTTCCCTCTCCCCCTCTTTCCCTCTCCCCCTCTTTCCCTCTCCCCCTCTTTCCCTCTCCCCCTCTTTCCCTCTCCCCCTCTTTCCCTCTCCCCCTCTTTCCCTCTCCCCCTCTTTCCCTCTCTCCCTCTTTCCCTCTCTCCCTCTTTCCCTCTCTCCCTCTTCCCTCCCCGCCCCCCTGTCTCTCTCTGTCTCACCCCTGCTTGCTCTTTTGCTCAAAATAAATGAATAAACTTCATTAAAAAAAATTGGTGTACCTGGGTGGCTCCATCAGTTGACTTTCAACTTCGGCTCAGGTCATGATCTCACAGTTCATGTGTTCAAATCTTGCATTGGGCTTTCCTCTGACAGCATGGAGCCTGCTTTGGATTCTCTGACTCCATCTCTCTCTGCCCCTCTGCCACTTGTGTGCTCGCTCTCTCAAAACTAAACATTAACAAATTAACAAGGTAAAAGAAAATTGATAATTTAGTTTTTATTTATTTATTTTTGAGTAGTCTCCAGCGTGGGGTTTGAACTCCCAACCCTGAGATCAAGAGTTGCATGCTGTACCTACTGAGTCAGTCAGGTGCGGTTACCCTTCAGGTATTCCTCAACATTTTTGTGTAAGGGAAATATAACAGCTCCCCTACCTGGCCAAAGAGTTGTCATTCTTCCTGCCACTTTAGAACGTAGAGCTTAATAAGTAATAGGAGCCAGTTTATTTGGAGAGTAGTGTGGAAAATAATGATGGTGATTCTCTAGGATATTGTAACGGTGAAATGTCTCTACATTTATTTTCTGTTAGTTTGTTAATAGACTTGAATCATTTTCAAATTATACTTTTTTCTTTTAGGTTACAGATTGCAACCCGATTAATATCCAAATATCCTTCCAATCTACCTAACTATGAGCTGTCACCATTACTGATGATACTGTCCCAGCTTCTACCTCAGCAGCGACACGGGGAGCGCACACCCTACGTGTTACGGTGCCTTGTGGAGGTTGCATCGTGTCAAGGCAAGAAATCAGACCTGGAAAGCTCACAGAAGGCAGATTTATTGAAACTCTGGACTAAAATTTGGTCTATTACCTTTCGCGGTATAAGTTCTGAACGAATACAAGCTGAAAACTTTGGCTTACTTGGAGCTATAATTCAAGGTGGTTTAATTGAGGTTGATAGAGAATTCTGGAAGTTATTTACTGGATCAGCCTGCAGACCTTCATGGTAGGTTGACTTACGTATTGTATTAGATTTATATATATCCATATACTTTTTTCTCCCTCTGGTTTTTGTAGTTTATCACTTCAGTTAAAAATATGTTAAATTCTGTTTTACGTAAACATCTAATTTTTGTTGTTTTTCCAGGAAGTCTTAAGTAAATAAATGTAAATTTAGTTTCAAGTGTAGAAAGGTTACTAAGGGCAATTAAAAAATTTTTTTTAATTTTTTTTTTTTTTTTTTAATTTTTGAGAGAGAGAGAGACAGACAGACAGACAGAACATCAGCAGGGGAGGGGCAGAGAGAGAGGGAGACACAGAATCCGAAACAGGCTCCAGGCTCTGAGCTGTCAGCATAGAGCTGACGTGGGCCTGGAACTCATGAACTGTGAGATCTTGACCTGAGCCAAAGTCAGATGGATACCCAACTGATTAAGCTACCAGGTGCCCCTACTAAGGCCAATTTTAAAGATACAAGGATTTAAATTTCTTTTATCTTTAATTGAAAATTAAGTATTTTATTCAGTGTGCATGAACTTTTTTTAGTAGTGGTACACTTAGATGTTTTTTCTCAGAGGTAATCATACTTTTCACACTTTTTGGGTTAGCTTAGTTAGTGGACGTTTACTATTCACCTATCATATGTCAAGCATTGTAGCATCATTAAGCATTAGTAACACTTTAGTAAATAAAATAGACAAGGTCTGCCTCAAAAAACTTACTTTTTAGTAAAACAGTGGTTACCAAATTTGGAATGAATGTAGAGCTTAGAGTTACGACCTACAGTGATACAGGGGAACTGAGTCCAGAAACTCAATCTACTATTGAATGAGAAATGAGAATCCTTCTAAGGGGACTCCTATGGATGAGTGAAACGTACCTTGAAGACTCATGCAAAAGAACATTAACAGTCAAGCAGAACTGGGGTGCCTGGGTGGCTCAGTTGGTTAAGCATACGACTTTAACTCCATTCATGACCTCTCGGTTAGTGAGTTTGAGCCCCGCATCAGGCTCTGTACTGACAGCTCAGAGCCTGTAGCCTGCTTCGGATCCTGTGCCTCCCTACAGCTCACACTCTCTCTTTCTCTCTCAAAAATAAACGTTAAAAAAAATTTAAAAAAAGAAAGAATCGAGCACAACCTTTACTAAACTGTGAGACTTTGGATGCCAAAGAGATCAGAAAGATTCAGGGCCACCTTGATGTCTCATTCAGTTAAGCGTCTGACTTCGGCTCAGGTCATGATCCTGCGGTTTGTGAATTTGAGTCCTGCGTTAGGCTCTGTGCTCACAGCTCAGAGCCTGTAGCCTGCTTCAGATTCTGTGTCTCCCTCCCTCTGCCCTTCCCCAGCTTCTGCTTTGTCTGTCTCAAAACAAACAAACAAACAAAAAAAACCATTAGAAAACCAAAAACCAAAGAGATTCAAATTGTTCTTGAGGGAAAGAAAGCAGAAGGGAGATGGTCACTATTAAAATGGGTGCATTGCTGGTTTTCCTGCAAGAATATATAGGTAGCAAGGTCTCCTCTTGCAACGCTTTTCTCCCATTCTTGACTCTCTCATTCTGTCACTCCAGGTGGGGAGCACTTTGTCAGTCTTTCATCATATTTAATCTAATTTTGGTTATTCTCGTATGGCACCTATTGCAGATTATCAACCCATGGCAGATATACGTTAAAGAAAATAATAAAGAACTATCAGGATGAGGGGGAAGCTTATTTTTAACAACAGCAGTTCTTTGTTTTGTTGTAGTCCTGCAGTATGCTGCTTGACTTTGGCCCTGACCATCTGCGTCGTTCCAGACTCAGCAAAGACAGGAGCGGAGCAGAGTATGTGTGAAGTGAATAGAAGTTTTTCTTTAAAGGAATTGATAATGAAATGGCTCTTACTCTATCAGTTAGAGGAAGACTTTGAAGACAGTACGGAGCTGCCACCAGTTCTTCACAGGTGATTGAAGTCCTTAGCATCCAACTGCTTTTTGTATCTTGAGGTACCCACGGGCTTATTGGATACTAGATGGCCTGTTTTACAGGGGTGATGCAGCGTTTCTCAGACCTTACCCCATGTATTAAACAGTCCCTTTGTTTTTCCAGTGTTCTGTGTCTTTGTGCTTGGATCTCTTCATGTCCTTTTACTGTGTTCTCATCTCTGCTGAGACAGTGAGAACACAGGGGAATGTGCCTGAATAATACGAATGATAATTCTTGGAGCACTTAACATGTTCCTTTGTGATTTCCTGTGACTGGGTTCATCTGCATGTATATCAGACGTAGAGGTATCCTGGAATCATAATGGGAGTATCTTCTGCGTGACGGGTGTTAAATTAGTGGGGGAAGGAAACTAGAGACAGACAGACTGGAGGGTAAGCACCAGAATGGAGAGCAATTTGCCTCTGTAACCTTTCCACAGCTGGTGGTCAGGATTGAAGGAATAGAGGACTGACCTGGGTCCTAGTGCTTTTGCTTTCATTCCATCATCTGAGAAATTATTTTTAAAAATTGGATGAGTCTGCTGCCAGGAAGTACTGAAAATTATAGTAACATAAAATAAATGTGTGCTTCTTAATTCTTGTTTTAGATGTTAAAAAATCGAGTAGAGATGAAAGAAATTGAGGGCAAGATTTACAACCAAGCATGGATTTTTAAGTTTAAATAATGCATTCAATGGCTTTTGTTCTTCTAAGCGAAGATTTTTAAAATTTTCCTTTGTAGTAATTTTCCTCATCTTGCACTGGAGAAAATTCTTGTGAGTCTCACTATGAAAAACTCGAAAGCTGCAATGAATTTTTTCCAAAGAGAGCCAGAATGGTATGTTACCTAATAGAGTTCTATGTTGTTTTAAGCTAGGGCTGTAATTAACAAAGATAATAGTTTTAGCAGAGTAGTAGCTACATCTTAAAAATTATGAACTAATTTGATCAATTAAAGAAAATCCCACCTCTTTCCAGGGAAAAGCTGCTTTTAATTCAGTGATAGTAATCTGCATTCTATAATTTTAGATCCAGTTGACTGTTTTTTAATGTCCTGTAGTATAGCGTGTGACACTTGCCAATGGAAGAAATAAATAGTTTTAATGGGTGGTTAAGACATAAGTTCTTTAAAGATGTGACCCATTTTTGTATGTCAAGTAAAATCTGTTTGCTTTAAAATTAATGGTAATGGAGGATAGGTCAAAGTAAAAATAAATCTAAAAACCTCATTTTAGTTGATTGACTCAAGAGGGCTATGCTTATCCCTGTGGTGGAAAATGACTCACTGGCATTAAGATTCCTCATCTCCCTTGAGAGGGCATAGCGTGGAAAACTCCTTTATTTCAGAGAAATCAAAAGGGACAATGGAAAGCGTTTTCAGAAAATGTTTATCTTGTACCTGGTGCTATTAATGTTTTCCTTTTTAATTCTTTCTGACTTTGCCTCCGAAATTGTAGCCTATGTGTTTTTCATCCATGTGTTAGTGGAATTTGCTGCCACTTAATGAAAGCTGGTACAAGTGGGTAGCAGTTCCAAAGCTAAGAGGCTTTTAAAATGACTCATCTGTTAATTGTGTAAGCAGTCTGTAAACAGTGTAGACGCTCAGTTAACGTTTTCATTTGTAATACATTGCTGCTGCATTGAAGTAAAATAGTTGGTCACTTGATTATAAACTTAAGCTCTTACTCTGTTGAAGTGAACGACACCAAAAAGATGCAGAGGATCCTTCACTCTCAGAGATTGAAGAACTGTTTCTTCAGACCACGTTTGACAAGATGGATTTCCTAAGTGTGGTGAAGGAATGTCCTGTAGAGAAGCACCAGTCCGGTGTAGGTATCTCTGTCCACCAGAACCTCAAGGAATCACTGGATCGCTATCTTCTGGGGTTATCAGAACAGCTTCTAAATAACTACTCATGTGAGGTGAGATCTTCAACAGAACAAAAGCCTGTATCTGACTCCACTTTGATGGACTGTTAGGAAGGAGAAAGGGGCAGAAAGGGCCCTGAGCGTGGTGACAGGCTTGATATAAAAAAAGCAAAGTGACAGTACATGCATACAAATAGTGAAGACTTAGCACGGGAGCAGGAAGACCCAAGAAGAATGATTTGGGTTCCTTTTGTACCAGGAATTCTAGGAGGCATTAAAGAAGCAGATGGCTTTGTGTGGGTTGGTGGGAATAATAATGGTTCTGAGCATAGGGATTATATGATGAGAAAGAACCTCTCTATTCACAGGAGGGAGAGGTTCCAATAACAAAAAGAACATAATTTAAATGGATCTAATAGATCTTGGTGACACTTGAAGAGGGAGAAGTGATTAATAAAATGTAATAAATGATCTAGCAGTCACCCATAGTTCAGGGGTCACTAGTAATTTCTTGTAAGTCATTTCCTTCGCTGTCTTAAGATCACACTTTCTCTTGGGGTGGCTGAGTGGCTCCAGGTCATGATCTCATGGTGAAATCAAACCCCGTTTTGGGCTCCGTGCTGGCAATGGAGCCTGCTTGAGATTCTCTCTCTCTCTCTCTCTCTCTCTCTCTCTCTCTCAAAAAAAAAAAAAAAATCACATTTTCTTTGTGTGTGCCATTCTCTTGCCAAAACTCCCATTATTTTTGACATGAACTATCTTTCCACCCATTTTTGTGTGTCAAATTACCCACATGTCAAAATCTTGCTAAAGCCTTTCTTAGATAATCTCAACCATAATAATTCATCTTTTGGTTTTCATGGTACTTACTACTTCTTTAAAAAATTAAAAAAAAAAATTTTTTAATGTTTTATTTCTGAGAGAGAGAGGTGAGCAGGGGAGGGTCAGAGAGGGAGACACAGAATCTGAAACATGCTGCAGGCTCTGAGCTAGCTGTCAGCACAGAGCCCGATGCAGGGCTTGAACCCACAAACAGATCATGACCTGAACCGGTCGGATGCTTAACTGACTGAGCCACCCAGAAGCGCCTAAATAAATTTTTTTTAATGTTTATTTTTGAGAGAGAAACAGAGTGTGAGTGGGGGAGGAGAGAGAGAGAGGAAGACACAGAATCCAAAGCAGGCTCTAGGCTCTGAGCTGTCAGCATCAAGCCTGATGTGGGGCTCAAATTCAAGAACCAAGAGATTGTGACCTGGGCCAAAGTCAGATGCTCAACCTACTGAGCCACCCAGTTGTCCCTGGTATTTTGTTTTAAAGTAACACTTAGCATCCTCTTTGCCCCATGGATATGTTTTATACACAGATGTCTCAAACCATAGTGTAAAGCTCCTTAAAGGACATCTGTATTTTTATTAACGTTTGTATCTTCCACAATGCCTTGTTATATTGTAAATGGTAAAGTATTTGTTGAATAAAATAAAGTCTGCAAGTTACTCAGAGGAGTGAATCCAGTAGCCAGGGATAATGATTCACAGAACCAGAGAAGAGGTGGTGTGTCTTTGTCATCTGCCTTATGTTTACTTACCTACACTCTGCTGGATCACGCTTGTAAACGTTTTCGTGATTAAAGTAAATCAGTCTTCTGTGTTTTGCCCTAAAATGCCATTTCCTACAGTATAGGAACAGAACAATCTGAAAATGTTATTTTTCTGTGTGGCCATTGCAAATTTGTAAGTAATTGTATGAAATTGGCTAAGTGATATCTACTTGCAAAATTTGTTCTGGTTTCTAGAGTCTGAAAAGCTGAGTAAGTCAGGGTTCTTCTCTTTTAGAAGCTCAAAATGTCATTTTAATATGACATTTCTCTTTTATATGAATCTAATTTCTATTCCTATTCTAAGAGTTACAGACTTTTACTTTTAATATCATTTTTTTCCTTCCACTCTACCTCAAATATTAAGGGCCTGTGTATAGAGTACACTGTGCTACTGTAAGAAGAGATAGATGCCTAACTTGGCCATTAGGAGATAGTTTTATTTTTCCCAATATTTCTACTTTTTACAACTCTGCAGGGATCTCTTGGATGTTTTTAGAGATAATCAGAATTATGCCATTATTAACTCAGATAACTAGTTTCTTAATATGTACGTAAGATTTGTTCTTACTAAAGATACCTGTGGTGTACTCAAAATTACTTATGGGATGTGTGTTTTTTGTTTTTGTTTTTTTGCTTTACTTGAAGTCTACAAATGCAGAAACACTTATCCGGTGTTCAAGTCTTATGGTGGGTGTTCTCGGCTGCTATTGTTACGTGGGTGTAATAGCTGAAGAGGAAGCATATAAATCAGAATTATTCCAGAAAGCCAAGGTATGAGAATCCATTCTAGTTAAATTCTGGATAAATACGAATGCAATGTGTTCTGGGGGAAATTGGTATATTTGAGAAAACATAACATTTTTTACATCGGTCAACTTTTGTCTTTGGTTTATGCTGTCTATGAGATATGCAATTATTCATCCATCCTTAACACTTGCGCTTATTTTAGGCCAACTATACATAGCATAATTGAAATAATATCACATTAAAATTTAATTTTCCTAAAGAAAAATGCTGACTTTTATGGACACTTTAAAAAGTTTTGCATGTGATCAGTTATCCTAAAGAATCCTTGACTAAGTGTTAAGCAGATTTGCAGGAAGCATGAAACTTAGGTTCATCTCTGAGTCTTGTCCTGTCAGTGGTGTGATTTGTAAGGAGAACAGTATACGAGAACTCATTAAAAACACTGTTAATTGTTACCTTGATTTTTAATTACACTGCATAACCAAGTATAACTTTTAAAAACGCTAATTTTATTCCATACGTAAAACTTTGAAAAGCAATTCCCAAACTATCATTTTAACCGGAGTTTGGACTTTTTCTTCTTTTATCAATAGTCTCTGATGCAGTGTGCAGGAGAAAGTATCACTCTGTTTAAAAATAAGCCCCACGAAGAATCTAGGATTGTGTCACTGAGAAATGTGATGCACCTGTGTACCCGTTGCCTGTCCAACTGTCCCAGGGTAAGCTGTTCTTCTTACTTCACTGTGTGGTCAGCCGAGGTGGTGGGTGACCAGCTGGTGCTGGTACTAGTTTTTTTGGTCCATTTGTAATTTAAAATTAAATTGAATGGGAAATAAACATATTATCCAGAGGAATAAAGCAACAGGTAATCTGAGTTTCTCATGAGCTAATTTCATCATTTCAGGAAGGTTTCTGAGATTACCACTTTTATAGACAACTACATAGGCGACTCTTTTATGGCCAGCATATTTTCTTTCATTTAGTAAAGATGTGTCGGCTGTGGCCATGTGACGTGCACACCAGGTACCAGGGCTGGTGAGCACCACGGGGATCCACAACTCCCGCACATGCCTTACTCTCTTTTGCCCAGACAGTCTTATAGAGCACTGGGTGGAAAGAGTGTTACTCTGCATAATCTTTATTTTGATTTGGAACAGACCTAAGTTATACCTGAGCCAGGCCAGAGCGTTGGTCTTAGTTGGAAAATATGTTTCTTGAATGCTAACAGTAACTACATGGCTATATAACAATATTACCAGCACATATATTTGAATTTGTAATGTGTTCGTTCTTTCTTTCTTTCTTTCTTTCTTTCTTTCTTTCTTTCTTTCTTTCTTTCTTTCTTTCTTTCTTTTAACTAAATAGGGAAGGAGAGAAATGGAAGAATAAATCCTAACTTACAGTTATTACTTATGTTTAGGGTCAGTACTTGGTATTTTACTCGACTGTTTATACACAATATACTTAAGTGCGGTATACTTATTAGTCTAAGAAAAAAGGTTAGTGTTTTTGAGACACTTGTCTTGGCCCTAATAGTAAACTCATCACCCCTGCTTCTTATGGTAGAGAATTTCCAATGTAGAAGAATATCTGTATTTCATTTAAGATAGAGAAAGTCTCTGCCAAGAATAACTTTTTGTGTTTTTGTTTGCTTATGCTTTTGTTTGTCTTCATTACAGCCCAGTCCCAGTAAGATTGCATCTGGATTTTTCCTGCGATTGTTGACATCAAAGCTCATGAATGATGTTGCAGATATTTGTAGAAGTTTAGTAAGTATGCGTGTTTTACCACCCTGTTTCATTGACTCTAAGATTCTTTTTTCATTGATATCTCTCTTCATTAGGGACACATCTCACAATATCTGGCACCGTATATATTTTAAAATGTGGAGGGGTGTCTGGGTGGCTCAGTTGGTTAAGCGTCTGACTTTGGCTCAGGTCATGATCTCACGGTTCGTGGGTTTGAGCCCTGCGTCAGGCTGTGTGCTGACAGCTCAGAGCCTGGATCCTGCTTCAGATTCTGTGTGTCCCTCTCTATCTGACCTTCCCCTGCTGACACTCTCACTCTCTCTCAGAAATAAAAAAAAATTTTAAAAATGTGGAAATTGAAGTTATTTGGTTTTGGAAGGGAATGTATTCTTTGCTTCTTAATATCAGTGCATACTGGTTCCTTTCAGTTTTTCAATAATTGGTAATAGATTGAATGATTGTAAACTAATCGTCTAGGTTTATACTTATTTCTATGTAACACTGTACCAGAATTCAAAATAATTGTTTATCTTTAAAAGCAAAAACAAAAATTGTGTTCAACAAGCAACACATTCTCATCATGGTACTTACTTTTCTTTCACACAAATGGGCTTTTGCTACATGTATTCTTTTGTCTAAAACAGTGCCTGGCAGACACACACAGTAGATACTCAAGTATATGTTGAATGAAAAAGTATTTTGTAATTTGGTTATTTTCACTCAGTTATAAATCTTGGTCATTTTTCTATGTTGCTACATGCTGCTGTTTTTTACTTTTTTTTTTTTTTTTTTTTACAGTAGCATTGCATCTCATTATACGGGAATGGTATATATGTATTTTTAGCCCATCTAACCTTACCATTAGATGTGGTTTCTATTTTTTTGTTATTGTTACAAAGAATTCTGTGGTAAAGATTCTTGCGTTTTTGTCTACTTGTACGTGTGCCTATAATGAACGTAGGATAAATTCTAGCAGTGGAATTGCTTCTTTAAAAGGAATGTGAATTTTACTTTTTGATGGATGTTGTCCCTTTCCTCGAAAAGAGTCATACACATTTATGCTTTTCCCATGTGCTCGTCAGATTTGGGTATTAAAAAGCTTAATGTAAGAAATTATTTTTAAAGCTTGCATAGTATTGTTGTATATACATATTACAGTTTATCCATTTTTAATTAAGAAAAAATTTTTTAATGTTTTATTTATTAGAGAGAGAGAGAGACAGCGTGAGCAGGGGAGGGTCAGAGAGGGAGGAAGATACAGAATCTAAAACAGACTCAGGCTCTGAGCTAGCTGTCAACAGAGAGCCCGACGCAGGGCTCGAACCCACAGACATGAGATCATAACTTAAGCCGAAGTCGGACGCTTAGCTGACTGAGCTACCCAGGCGCCCCTATCCGTTTTTTATTGTTACACATTTAATAGAAAAAATACTGCAGCGTTCATACACATGGATCTTGAATTGTTTGATTAGGTGAATTTTAACTACACATGCTTCTGGAAGAAGCCAGTTTGAACATCTTTGTTTTTCTTCTTTGAAGGCATCATTTACCAGAAAGCCGTTTGACTATGGAGAAGTAGAATCACTGGAAGATGATGCTGATGCAAGTCTGATGGAGGGAGAGGATCAGTCATCCATGAACCTATTCAGTGAAGACCCGGCCGCTAGTGTTAGCGATGCTAACGTATCTGGAGAGGCCCAGAGTACTATTGGTACATACACCTTTACTGCTTGGGATTTCTTTTCCTCTCTGTATTGATCGGCTTTATGAAAGGCCTTATAGATAACAGTTTTATGCTCATTTTATTTTCCCTTATATAGTGTATTGGGATTTCTATATAGTACATTAGGTTTCTATGATTTTGAACTGAATTCATTAGTTACCTGGGTCATTCTTCATGTAAGGAATTTAAAATGGATGATTTGGAAAATAGAAAGTAGGAGAGTGAAAACAACCCTGGGGCCATGACTTTGAACCTTTTTCTGTTCTTGAAATCAGCATCAGTGTTCGGATTTTTTTTAAGCCTTCATCTCCTTTTAACAACTGTAAGCATTTTTTTCATTAAGCTATATTGATAATTATACATTTTCTTTTTAATTTTTTTAATGTTTATTTTTTAAAAAGATTTTTTTTTTTTTAATGTTTTATTTATTTCTAGGAGAGAGAGAGACAGTGTGAGCAGGGGAGGGTCAGAGAGAGAGGGAGTCACAGACTCTGAAACAGGCTCCAGGTTCTGAGCTGGCAGTCAGCACAGAGCCTGACATGGGGCTCGAACCCACGAACCGCGAGATCATGACCCAAGCGAAAGTCGGACGCTTAACCGACTAAGCCACCCAGGCGCCCCTTTAATGTTTATTTTTGAGAGAGGGAGGGAAACAGAGAGAGAGAGAGAGACAGAGTGCAAGCGGGGGAGGGGCAGAGAGAGAGGGAGACACGGAATCTGAAGCAGCTCCAGGCTCTTGAGTTGTCAGCACAGAGCCCAACATGGAGCTTGAACCCACAAACCGTGAGATGGTGACCTGAGCTGAAGTCGGATGCTTAACTGACTGAGCCATCCAGGTGCCCTGATAATTATCCTTTTTAATGGCTTCATAATATCTCAGTTAACTTATATACCATAATTCACTTGACCATTTTTATTGTCAGAAGTTTGGGCTTCTTTCTGTTTGGCTATAATTAGCAGTGCTGCCCCAGTGAGTGTTGTCCGTATACATTTCCCCATAGATTATTTCTTGATGACAGAACGCTAGGGTAACTTTTCATGAAGAATTTTGAAGCTTTTAGTGTTTAATCACTTTCACCATAATTTTGCTTTCCATAGACTTTGATGTGTCTCTCTCTCTCTGTTTTATGTGTGTGTGTGTTTTTGTAGACTGGAAAATGTTTGAGTTAATGTTCAGTATATGTGTTGGTTGTGTCCGTCTCTTAGTTTTAATAAGTGCTTTTTATTTTCAGGTGCCATGAATCCTTTAGCTGAAGAACAGCTATCAAAGCAAGATCTACTTTTCCTCGACATGCTCAAGTTCTTGTGTATGTGTGTAACTACCGCTCAGACCAACACTGTGTCGTTCAGAGCGGCTGATATTCGGAGGAAATTGTTAATGTTAATTGATTCTAGCATGCTAGACCCTGCTAAATCCCTCCATCTACACATGGTGAGTTCAGGGAAAGTGACACACCTTCTATTCCATCTGATGTTGCTGGGTAAATGTAATAGAGTATATGGTACCGTTGGTGGCTTGAAACTGCTTCCTTGAGGAACAAATCTGATGCCAGTTATAAAAAAAATGCTAGTTAACAAAAATGCTGGTTATAAAAATATAAAAGTCTGATGCTAGTTATTTACTTTTTATTTTTGAGAGTCAGAGAGAGACAGTGCGAGCAGGGAAGGGTCAGAGAGAAAGGGAGATAAAGAATCCAAAGACAGGCTCCTAACTAGCTCCTAGAGCTGGCTGTCAGCACAGAGCCAGATGCGGGCCTCGAACCCACGAGCCATGAGATCATGACCTGAGCCGAAGTCGGATGCTTAACTGACTGAGCCACCCAGGCGCCCCGTTGATAGTTATAAAATAGACTTTTTCTTTTCATGTACTGTGAAAATTTTAAGTGGATACTGAAACATTACAACTTGGATGGACTTTAGATAGATTTATTATAAGTTTCTTTAAAGTAGACCAGGAAACACTAGTCCATAACCTTGTAGTTGAATTCTGAGTCTTGCCGTGACCTTATTTACATACTTTAGATATAATTTCAAAATGACAGTAAAGTTAGGATACTACAGGAATTCCCATTTTGCCTTCATACACTTCCACAGTTAATGGTTTACCACATCTGCCTTTTTAATAATACTGTATCCTTACCTCAAATTGTCATGCGTTTTCAGTCTCTTTCAACCTGGAGTAATTCCTTAGTCTTTCCTTAGGACGTTCGTGTTTTTGATGAGTATAGGCACTTGTACTTTTCTTTTTTCCTCTTTCCTATACCACCCAGTGCTCTTCACAAGTTACCCTCCCAGTACCCATCAGGCATCTGGCCCAGCCCCTGCCCACCTCCCTTCTTCCCTTCCAGCAACCCTCAGTTTCTTTGTGGTTAAGAGTCTCTTTTATGGTTTGCCCATCCCCCTCCCCCCACGCATCCCTTCAAATCAGTATGTTTTTTTTTTAATGTTTATTTGTTTTGAGAGAGATTGTTGGGGGAGAGAGGAGAAATGAATGAATGGGTGAGGGGCAGAGAGAGAGAGAGAGAGAGAGAATCCCAAGCAGGCTCGATGCTGTCAGTGCAGAGGTCAGTGTAGGGTTGCACTCCACTAACCTTGATATTATGACCTGAGCCAAAATCAAGAATCACGCAACCAACTGAGCCACCCAGGCACCCCTCGAATCAGTATTTTTATACCCTTCAGGTAAATACCTACTAGTGCAATCACCAGGTCATAGGGTAGTTGTATTCATAACTTTTTGAGAAACCTTCATACTGTTTTCCAGAGTGGCTACCCCACTTTGCATCCCCATCAACAGTGTAAGAGGGTTCTACTTTCTCCTTAGTGAGCCAATACCTCTTGTTTCCTCTGTTGTTAATTTTAGCCATTCTGACAGGTATGAGGTGATATCTCACTGTGATTTTAATTTGCATTTCCCTGATGATGAGTGATGTTGAGCATCTTTTCGTGTGTCTATTAGCCATCTGGATGTCTTCTTTGGAAAGATGTACATTCATATCTTCTGCCCATTTCTTAACTGGATTATTTGTTTTTTTGGGTGTTGAGTTTGCTAAGTTCTTAAAGATTTTGGATACTAACCCTTTATCAAATTTTCCGTTTACAAATATCTTCTTCTATTCCATAGGATGCCCTTTAGTTTTGTTGATTGTTTCCTTCACTGTGTAGAAGCCTTATATTTTGATGAAGTCCGAATACTTCATTTTTGTTTTTGTTTCCCTTGCTTCCGGAGAAATGTCTAGTAAGAAGTTGCTGTGGCCAAGGTGAAAGAGTTTGCTGCTTATGTTCCCCTCTAGCATTTTGATGGTTTCCTATTTTACATTTAGGTCCTTCGTCCATTGTGAATTTTTGTGTATGGTTATAAGAAAGTGGTCCAGTTTTATTCTGTATGTTGCTGTCCAGTTTTACCAACACCATTTGCTGAAGAGACTGTCTTTTTTCCATTGAATATTCTTTCCTGCTTTTTTGAAGATAAGTTGACCGTGTAATTGTGGGTTCATTTCTCAGTGCTCTATTCTGTTCCATTGACCTGTGTGTCTGATTTTGTGCCAGTACCATACTGCTTGGATGACTACAGCTTTGTAGTATTGCATGAAATCTGAAATGGTGATGACTCCTGTTTTTTCTTTTCCAGGATTGCTTTGTCCATTTCGGGTCTTTTACCAATTTTAGGATTGTTTTAGCTCTGTGAACAATGCTGGTTGTATTTTGATAGGAATTGCATTAAATGTATAGATTGCATTGAATAGCATTGACTTTTTTTTTTAATATTTTTATTTATTTCTAGGAGAGAGAGAGAGAGACAGCGTGAGCAGGGGAGGGTCAGAGAGAGAGGGAGATACAGACTCTGAAATAGGCTCCAGGCTCTGAGCTGGCAGTCAGCACAGAGCCCGACGCGGGGCTCAAACCCACGAACCGTGAGATCATGACCTAAGCAAAAGTTGGACACCTAACCGACTAAGCCACCCAGGCGCCCCTGAATAGCATTGACATTTTAACAATATTTGTTCTTCTGATCGATGAGCGTGGAATGTTTTTCTTTGTTTCTTCTTCAATTTCTTTCATCAGTGTTTTATAGTTTTCAGACTATAGATCTTTTACCTCTTTGGTAGGTTTATTCCTAGGTATCTTACGGTTTTTGGTATAATTGTAAATGGGATCGATTCCTTGATTTCTCTTTCTGATGCTCCATTATTGATGTATAGAAATGCAGCAGGTAGCTAAATTAATTTTGTATCCTGCAACTTCACTGAATTTGTGTATCAGTTCTAGCAATTTTTTGGTAGAGTCTTTCAGACTTTCTGCATGGAGTATCATGTTGGGTGCCTATCCTGAACATTTGGCTTCTTTGCCTGTTTGGATGCCTTGTTTTTCTTGTCGTTGTCTCATTGCTGAGACTCAGACTTCCAGTCTTACGTTAAATAATAGCGATGAGATTGGCCATCCCTGTCTTGGTCCTCACATAGAGGAAGAGCTCAGTTTTTTCCCCCATTGAGGATGATGTTAGTTGTGGGTCTTTCACATATGGTCTTTATGAATGTTGACGTGTGTTCCCTCTATCCCTACTTTGTTGAGGGTTTGTGTCAAGAATGGATGCTGTACTTTGTCACATACTTTTTTTTTTTTGCACCTATTGAGAGGTTCATAAGGTTTTTATCATGTCTTTTATTAATGTGATGTATCACATTGGTTGATTTGCAAATACTGCCCCATCCTTGCAGCCCAGGAATAAATCCCATGATGGCGGTGAATGATTATTTTAATGTATTGTGGATTTGATTTGCTTGTATTTTGTTGACAATTTTTGCATCAGTGTTCATCGGGGGTATTGGCTTGTAATTCTTTTTTTTTAGTGGAGTCTTTGGTTTTGGAATCAAGGCACTGCTGGCCTTATAGAAGAGTTTGGAAGTTTCCTCCCATTTTTACTTTTTGGAACACTTTGAGAAGAAAATGTATTAATTGTTCTTTAAATATTTGGTAGAACTTACCTGGCAAGCCATGTGGCTCTGGACTTTTGTTTGTTGTGAGATTTTTGATTTCTGATTCAATTTCTTTGCTGCTTGTGGGCCTGTACAAATTTTTTGTTGCCTCCTGTTTCAATTTTGATAGTTTATATGTTTCTAGGAGTTTACCTATTTCTTCCAGATTGCCTAAATTGTTGCATATATTTTTTATAATACTCTCTTTTATTTGGTTGTATTTCTGTGGTGTTGGTTGTGATCTCTTTCATTTGTGATTTTCTTTATTTGGGTCCTTTCTTTTTTCTTTTTGATAAGTCTAGCTAGGGGTTTATCAGTTTTATTAATTCTATCAAAGAACCAGCTCCTAGTTTCGTTGATCTTTTCTGGGTTTTTTGTTTGTTTCTATATTGTTTATTTCTGCTCTGATCTTTATTATTCCCTTCTTCTGTTGGCTTTAGGCTGAAAGCATCAGAAGAAGGGAAATATAACCACTTGTTCTATAGAAGCCCTTACTTTGGGTTTGTTTCATGTTTCCTAATAATTAGATTTAGATTTGGCGCTTTTTTTTTTTTTTTTGAGAATATTAAGAAAGGAATCCCTCTCATGCCCTACCCCCATGAATCTGTCCACCTACTGATCAATATCTTCAATTCCAGTCCGACATCATAGGATTTGTTTTCTTCTCTGTCCATATTTCTAGCTACCTTTTCCAACAGTAAGAAACCTGGCTTCCCACTTAACATTCATATGTTTACTTGTTTACTCAGTATTTTATATGTGACTTAGCTCCTGACCTTGTAAGTCATCTCCTTTGCCCCAACACTAGTGAATGTTCAGGGAGGGCCTCTGGCCCAGCAGATATGCTGGGGGAGTCCATGGTCACGTTCCTAGTCCCAGAACATTGGCAAACATGCCCGTTTCCTCCGCGCGCGGAAACATTCCGGGGGACTCCCTAATTAGAACCTCTGATGGTCATGCGGTTTGAGCCCCTGGTAGAATCTTTGTCGCATTCCAGCTTTAGTGAACAAGCTGGTTGAGCCTCTGATCCCCGCACACGTGCTTGACTGAGCCCTGTGCAATCCCCTAGTTTTGACCCAGGTCTCTAGCCCTGACCAGTGAGCATGGCTCTAAGCTTTTCCTGAGGCTTTGGTGTTTAACGTCAGTTCAAGATACTCCATAACATCACACACATGACTCTCAAAACAAATATTTAAAACAGTCCAATTTAATCTTTTATGATAACTGAGAAGGAGGAAGAAACATTTTTCTACACGTGGATGACAGGAAAAATGTCTTCAGATGTCTTACTACAGCTAGGAAATTATTTGGCAGCTCTCAGAAACTGACTGCCTAGTTACCACTACCGTTATTATGCCTGGCAGTTGCTGAGTGGTCCTTGGTAGCCCCAGTACCCTAGAGAACCCTACAAGGCTGCCTTTAGGACGATAAACCAGCGTATTTGACTTTTCCCTGCCCACAACTGTGTCTCCTGTCCAAAATTCCATAGAACGGTTTTTAACCATTGAAGTCTTATCCCTGAACGTTATTTTTAGAGGGTAGGACTATGATGATCATTTCAGATTCTTGCACAGGCTCTGTAAGTCAACAGTGTAATCACTGTAATCAACAGTGACTACAACTACCTGTTTATTGAATTCCTACAATACATGTTAGACATTTATATTCATTCCCTTTAACCCTCAGTAATCTGAGCGTGTAAGTGCCCTGTCCACATTTTACAGGTGAGACTACAAGGCATGTTGGTTTTTTTGTTTTTTTTTTAATGTTTTATTTATTTCTAGGAGAGAGAGAGAGAGAGACAGCGTGAGCAGGGGAGGGTCAGAGAGAGAGGGAGTCACAGACCGAAACAGGCTTCAGGCTCTGAGCTGGCAGTCAGCACAGAGCCCGACGCGGGGCTCGAACCCACGAACCACGAGATCATGACCTAAGCGAAAGTTGGACGCTTAACCGACTAAGCCACCCAGGCGCCCCACAAGGCATGTTTTTTAACCACACAAGTAACAGGTTGTAGTGCGGGGATTTGAGTCCAGCTCTGTTTGACCTCAGACTCTCTTTATTACTATATTGCCTCTTTTACAGATTCACTGGTCTTGTGTGTGTGTGTGTGTGTGTGTGTGTGTGTGTGTGTGTGTGTGTACGTGTGCGTGCATTAATGTATGGATTTATGATTACATGTTTATACTTATTTAAGCAAATGACCTATAGAAAAAAAAATGATTTTCCCCCCTCAACTATCTTAGTATCTAGTGCTTTTAAAGGAGCTTCCTGGAGAAGAACATCCTTTGCCAATGGAAGAGGTTGTTGAACTCCTAAAGCCACTATCGTAAGAAATTAAAACCATGTGTTATGTTCATTTTAAATTTATTAAGTAACTGGTGTGTTCTGCTGTACTTAAAAGTTAAACTTTTTCCACTACAGCAATGTGTGTTCTTTGTATCGCCGTGACCAGGATGTTTGTAAAACAGTTTTAAACCACGTCGTTCCCATTGTGACGAACCTGTGTCAAGGCAGTATGGACGCTGAAAACACAAGGGACGCTCAGGGGCAGTTTCTAACAGTGATTGGAGCGTTTTGGTAGGTGCGCAGTGTTTTGTGGAGTTCTCAACTTTCTTTTGCTACTCTAGAAGCACTTGCTAACTTTGCCTTTCTGTATTCGTGATTTATTCTAATCCTTGAATGTGAGTATATCCATCTTTTAACAGGAGCAGCATGTAATTTCTGTTTCCTTCCTGATTGCTTGAACAACAGTGAACACTGTGACCTTGTCACCAATGTGTGTGTGCAGTCAGCAGTGTGACATGACACGATGCGAGTTTTATGCTACTTACACAGGAGCACATATATGTAATTTAGGGCCCTCCTCGCACTTGATTGATAAGGACTTCTGAATCAGTATAGAGTGTGGTTTTGATATATTTGATATAAAAACAAAACTTTACAGATGTTTTCCTTTTAAAGCAAGTTTATAAATAACGTGGTTCGCTGAAGTGTAACAGCCCCCAGATGAGTTGTGAGCCTAGAAAACAAATAATGTACATTAAAATGAACTCCTTTCCAAACTAGCTTCTTTTCTTTGGAGTTTTTTTTTAGAAGCTGAGAATATTGGCATATACTACATAATGAGAATTAAATTTAGTATGGAAAGAAATTTTCGAAGAAACTTCGACTAAGTATGATATTCAGTGATTTTTTTTTTTTGACTGAGCTTTTAATGGAATAATTATTTGACTTTGAAACACTTACTTTATTTCAGGCACTTAGCAAAGGAGGGGAAGTGCACATTCTCTGTAAGAATGGCACTGGTAAAATGCCTTAAGACTTTGCTTGAGGTGAGTTATTCCACGTCAACTACTAATAAGGTCTCTATTGAGATTTTCAAGGTAGCCTTTGTTTCTGTTTGTTAATGGGTAATTTTTTGTCTTAGTATTTCATATTTAACATTAGCTCTTTTCCCATAGGCTGATCCTTATTCAAAATGGGCTATTCTTAATGCAGTGGGCAAAGAGTTTCCTGTGAACGAAGTATTTCCACATTTTCTTGCTGATAATCATCATCAAGTTAGCATGTTGGCCGCAGCGTCCATCAATAGGTAATGGGACCCGTACTCGTGGTGTGCCTGAAGTGCCGCAGACAGCACCGTCCTGTAGGGCACAGTCATGGGTCTGTAGTCGTGATACTGAGAGGCGCTGACATTGACTGGGCATATGCTGTCGGCTTGGCATTTATGTGTTCTCATAATTCTGACAAGTCTATCCCTTAGATGCTATTATTTTCCCCATTTTATATGTGAAGAACGTGGCTCAGAGAGAAAGTAACTCACTCCATGTAGTACAGCCAGTGAGTGGTTGAGTTGAATAAGATGTGTCTCCTACCACTTCCAGAAGGTATTGAACGTTTGGATGTCACTGTGATTTTATATGAGTTTGTAAAATGAAGATGGGCACATTTTGTTTTGTGCTAATTACGATTATATTTATTCGAGTGAACGCACAGTCAGGCGCTGGAGTGATTCTGTCATGTAGACCTGTTTTATGTTTGAGGACTTGAAGGAGCAACAGTAATTTCTTAGGACTGCATGGTTATCAGGTTGTTCAGCATTTTTGAACACTTGAAATGCTATATTCTTATACATTTAGCTAAAATATAAGCTGCTACAAGGCCTTGGCTTTTTATCTGTTTTGTGAGTTGCTATATTACTCAGCACCAAAGACCATAATCAGCATTTGGTAGGTGTTCAGTAATTTATAACATAAATGAATGTTTGAAAAAGGAAGTTACATTATGCTTTAAAATCCTCAACACTGAAAATCACTTGAGTAACTTTACTATTCAGGTGTAAGTGACCAATAATTAAAGATTGCTGTCACATACATGTGTATGTGACACATACATGTGTGTGTTAGATAACCTGATGTGTGCAAAGTTTGAACGTGCTGACAGTAGTATTTTCACGGATCAGAATTGTGTCCCAATTCCTTGTATTATGGAATTCTATTCAGGACTTAACATTGTTAGGATTGCACGGGAATGTGAGCTTTACCTCAGGTCCTTACGAGATGGAAAATATACACCCAAGTTAGAGATCTGGGATGATAGAGAACCCCAATTTAAGTGTAATAAAGCAGTGTAGCGATGTCTTTGTAAAACCTCTGTAAGATTTCAAAACTATATAAATTCAAGAATGGCATGAATATAACATTTGTTGGGATTTTTTTGTTTTTTGATTATTAACTTCTTTGATACTTAATATTGAGCTATTTTAAGAGATGTTAGAGAAATTGGAGGAGTCAGAGGAACACCAAAAAGTATAAAAGCTTTGGTTACTAAAAAAGCATAAACGACAAAATTGATGAAAGAATTATCCTTACATATATATGATAGGATATTATGCAGAAAGCGCGGGTCACCTCTTCTCCATCATGTAAAAAAAATTAAGATCATCAAGACATAAAGCTGTCCACTTTGATGTGTAAGATCACTTTTTTTTTCAATTAGAGCAAATGGACAGGAGTCTGAAGCTTCTTCTAATTGGAGTTTGGGGGATAATTTTTCTTTATGGTCTGGTTTGAGTTTAGGACTGTTTATGTTTGGGCAATAAGCTAACAGATCTTTTGAGACTCTTTCAGTTCTGGGAGAAAATGGAATATACGTTATTAAGCTGCGGATCTGAACCTGTTTAAATGGTTCAGATTTCAGTAGTTTTTTGAAAGAAGACCCAGTATGTTAGTGTGTATCACAGAGTGATTTTATTGTGTCCAATAGTACCCTTTGGAAAGTTGTGTTTAACATACGTTATTTCACTGTTTACTTTTTTTTTTTTTTTTTTTTTAAGATTATTCCAGGATATGAAGCACGGAGGTTCTGCCACATTATTGAAAGCACTTCCTTTGAAACTTCAGCAAACAGCTTTTGAAAATGCATACTCGAAAGCTCTGGAAGGAATGAGAGAAGTGGTAATTTTAACAATGCATACCTGCTAGTATCAATTCTTATACATATGCCATATACTATTTTACCAAGTGTGGTCTAAGACAGCATCCGCTGGTTTACAGAACAACTGTATGAATTAATTGAAATTGCCTTATTATAGGTTAGACTTGGTCCAATAATGGCAATTTCTTTGGTTCAATTTTCTTGTACTATTTTTGTGGGAAAAACAAAATTTACTCTGTATAAATGGCTTCCTTTTTTAAAAGTTTTTAGTTAAGGGGTGGCTGATTGCTTAAGTATCTGACTCTTGATTTCGGCTCAGGTCCTGATCTCATAGTTCATGATTTTGGGGCTCTGCGCTGACAGTGTGGAGCCTATTTTTGGGATTCTCTCGCTCCCTCTCTTCTCTGCTGCTCCCCTACTCATGCAGTGTCTGTCTCCCTCAAAATAAGTAAACTTTGAAAAAGAAATCTTTTTAAATTGAAGTATAGTTAACATACAATGTTATATTAGTTTCATATATATGACATAATGGTTTAACAATTACATACATTACTTAGTGCTTATGATAAATATAGTCACCATAAAACATTATTATAATATTACTGAGTATATTCCCTGTGCTGTATTTTTCATCCCTGTGACTTACTTTATAGATGGAAGTTTGTGCCTCTTAATCTCCATTCTCTCTTTCATCCATTCCTTCACCCACCTCCTCTCTGCTAGCCATTACTTTTCTGTATTTAAGAGTCTGATTTTTTATTTGTTCACTTGAAGTGAAATCATATGGTGTTTGTGTTACTTTGATTTATTTCACTTAGCATAATACTGCCTAGGTCCATCCATGTTGTTGCAGAAGTCAAGATCTCATTCTTTTTTGTGGCTGAATAATACTCCATTGCACCCACCTTCCCTCTCTTTCACCATATATTCTTTATCCATTCATTTGTCAGTGGACACTTGGGTTAGTTCCATCACTTGGAGATTATAAATAATGCATAGGGGTAAGTATATCTTTCAAATTAGTGTTTTTGTTTCTTTGAGTAAGTACCCACTAGTGAAATTATTGGATCATAAAGGATTCCTATTTTTAATTTTTTGAAGAACCTTACACTGTTTTCCACAGTAGCTGTACCATTTTACATTCCCACCAACAGTGCACAGGATTCCTTTTCTCCACATCCTTGCTAATATTTGTTATTTCTGATTTTCTTGGTACTGGCCATTGTGACAGGTGTGAGGTGATGGCTCATTGTGGTTTTGGTTTGCATTTCCCTGATGATGAGTGACGTTGAGCATCTTTTCATGTGTTTGTTGGCCATCTGTATGTCTTTAGAGAAATGTCTATTTAGGTACTCTGCTCATCTTTTAATCAAATTGTTCTTCATGTGTTAAATTGTACAAGTTCTCTATATATTGGATGCTAATTCATTATCAGATATATCACTTGCATATATCTTTTTCCATTCAATAGGTTCTTTCAGTTTTGTTGATGGTTTCCTTCCTTTGGTGTAGAAAGCCTGTTAATTTTGGTGTTCTCCCAATAGTTTATTTTTGCTTTCATTTTCTTTGCCTGAATTGATACACAGGAAACTATTGCTAAGGTCATTGTCCAGGAGAATACTGCCAATGTTTTCTTTTAGGAATTTTATGGCTTCAGGCCTCACGTTTAAACTCTTCAACCATTTGGAGTTTATTTTTGTATATGGTGTTAGTGGTCCAGTTAGTGGTCCAGTTTTATTCTTTAGCACGGAGCTGTCCAGTTTTCCCAACACCATTTTATTGAAGATACCATTTGTTTCCCATTGTATATTCTTACCCCCTGTGTCATAGACTAATTAACCATGTAAGTTTTCTGGCCTCTTGGTTCTGTTGCCTTGATCGTATATCTTTTTTTATGTCAGTACCATACTGTTTTGATTACTGTGGTTGTGATACCTCTGGTTTTGTTCTTTTTCAAGACTGTTTTGGTTATTCAGAGTCTTTTCTGGTCCCATACAAACTTTATAAGATTATTTGTTCCAGTTCTGTGACAAATACTGTTGGTATTTTGATAGGGATTACGTTGGATCTGTAGATTGCTTTGAGTAGTATGGACATTTTGACAGTATTCTTCCAGTATGAGAGCATGACATATTTTTCCATTTTTCTGTGTCATTTTCAATTTCTTTCATTAATATCTTATATTTTCAGGGTATAGGTCTTTCACCTCCTTGGTTAAATTTACGCCTAGGTATTTTATTCTTTTTGGTATAATTGTAAATGGTATTGTTTTCTTAGGTTCTCTTTCTACTACTTTGTTATTAGTGTATAAAAAATTGCAGCAGATTTCTGTGTATACATTTTGTATTCTGCAATAGTATACTGAATTCATTTATGAGTTCTAATGGTCTTCTTCCTTACCAATTAAAATGCCTTTTAATTCATGTCTGGTTGCTACAGTAGGGCTTCCACTACTGTGTTCAATAAAAATGGTAAGAGTGGACACTTTTTATTTGTGCCTGATCTTAGAGGAAATGCTTTCAGTTTTTCACCATTGAGTATGATGTTAGCTGCAGGGTTTTCATATATAGCCTTTATTGTATTGAGGTTTGTTCCCCCAAACCCTCTTTGTTTAGAGTGTTTATTGTGAAGGATGTTTTATTTTGTTAGATGTTTTTTGCATCTACTGAGGGGATCATATGGTTTTTATTTTTCCTCTTGTTCATAGTATATATCATATTGATTGATATATAATATTGAACATATATGAATATTGAACCATTATTACATCCCTGAAATAAATCCCCTTGATTGCAGCAAATGGTCTTTTTGATGTATTGTTGAATTTAGTTTGTTATTATTTTTTGGGTAGTTTTGCCTCTTTGTTCATCAGGGAAATTGGTGTGTGGTTCTCTTTTTTGTGTCTGTTTGGTTTTGGTGTCAGGATCTTATAGAATAAATTTGGAAGTTTTCCTTTCTCTTCTAATTTTTGGAGTAGTTTGAGAAGAATAAACATTGTCTCTTTTTTAAATGACTGGTAGAATTCACCTGTGAAGCCATCTGGTTGTGGACATCTGTTTGTTGGGACTTTTTTGATTACTAATTCAATTTCCTTACTAGTAAGCTATTCCAAATTTCTATTTCTTCCTGATTTGGTTTTGGAATTTATCTAGTGTCTAGAAATTTATCCATCTGTTCTCGGTTGTCCAGTTTGTTGGCATGTGATTTTTTTTTTCTTGATGAATCTGGTTAAAGGTTTATCACTTTTATTGATCTTTTCAAAGAACCAGCCCTTGGTTTCATTGATCTTTTCTGCGGCTGTTGTTGTTATTGTCATCTCTTTTCTTTATTTCCTCTCCAGTCTTTATTTCCTTCCTTCCACTAGCTTTGGCCTTTGCTTGTTCTTCTTTTTCTAGTTCCATTAGGTGTAAAGTTAGGTTGTTTATTTGAGGTTTTTGCTGTTTCTTGAGGTATTGCTATAAACTTCTTTCTTAGACTGCTTTTGCTACATCCCAAAGATTTTGAATCATTGTATTTCCATTTTCTTTTGTTTCCATGTGTATTTTTATTTCCTGTCTGTTTTCTTCATTTAGCAGTATGTTGTTTAGCCTGTGCGCTCTTGTGTTTTTGTCAGGTTTTTTTAAATTGATTTTATAGTGTTGTGTTTAGAAAAGTTGCTTTATATGATTTCAGTCTTAAAATATTTTTTGTAAGATCTGATTAAAAGTCAATTTAGAGAACTGTGTTCTGATACGGGAGATCAACTTATGGTGGTGTTCTTTAGGGAGCCTTATGATTCTCATATTTCTTTGTAGAATAATAATATTTCTTAAGTGGCAAAATGATCTGAGTGTTAGAATTTATTCACTTATTTATGCCTTGGTATGTTTGTAATAAATATATGAGGTGGCTGATCAGATACTGTCTAATCGGTGATAGCACACACCTTAAAAGGACAGATGCATGAAAGAATGTGAAATTCATAAAAGTTCCAATAGATTAGAAAGATGAATGTGGATAATATTATGATACTCTTTAAGATTAGCCTGCCTCAAGCAAAAAGGATAAATATTGACATGATAGAAATTCATTTGTAAAAAGTCCTAATAAGTTTTAGATTTTGAGAGCACCTTATGAATCCCATTGCAATAGCTATCAAAAGGAACAAATTCTGTCTTACATGTCATTAATAGAAGCACACTGTCATGGGGCGCCTGGGTGGCTTAGTTGGTTAAGCGTCCCACTTTCGCTTAGGTCATGATCTCGTGGTTCGTGGGTTCAAGCCCCGCATCGGGCTCTGTGCTGACTGCCAGCTCAGAGCCTGGACCTTATTTCAGAGTCTGTGACTCCCTCTCTCTCTGACCCTCCCCTGCTCACGTTGTCTCTCTCTCTCTCCTAGAAATAAAACATTTAAAAAAAATTAAAAAAAAAACAACACAGTGTCATGAACAAGCTGATAAACAGAATCGGGGCTCTTTTATACATTATAGAGGGCAGCTGGTATTTTGGGTTTGGTTCTGAGCAGAAGTAGATTAACTAGGATGTTAGAGAGTCTATAGATCTCTCTCTGTCTCTTAAGGAAGTAGTGAAGGAGCTGACTTAGTGGGAACCTCATAGCTATTGTCAAACATGTCAATGAGGGCCATTTGGTAAAGGTTCTTTCTTTTCCTTGTTACAAAAAACCAGAAGTAGGATCATTGGGTGGGAGAGTTTTCTAAGTGTGAAGAGAAACTTTTTTTTAAGATTTTACTTTATTTAAAATTTTTTTTAATGTTTATTTTTGAGAGAGAGAGAGAGAGAGCAAGCATGAGTTGGGGAGGGGCAGAGAGAGGGGAAGACATGAATCAGAAGCAGGCTTCAGGCTCTGAGCTGTCAGTCCAGAACCTGACACGGGGCTTGAACTCCTGAAGCACAAGATCATGACCTGAGCGAAAGTTGGACGCTTAGCTGACTGAGCCACCCAGGCACCCCATTTAAGATTTTATTTTTAAGTTATCTCTTCACCCATTGTGGGGCTCAGACTCTGAGATCAAAATCTCACGCTCCAACTGACCAGGCCAGCTAGGTGCCCTGAGAAGCTTTCATCAGATTTAGCCAGTCAAGAAATTGTTCATATCTATTGAGATATTATAATGATAGGTCATTAAACTAGAAGCATGTATCTTTCTGTCTAGTTCTGTGATTTTATTTTTACCTTTTATTTATTTTTTTTTGAGAGAGAGTACACACACTCAAGTGCTTGCACAAATGAGGCAGGAACAGAGGGAGAGAGATAGAATCTCAAGCAGGCTCCCTCCCCAGCACAGAGCCTGATATGGGGCTTGACTGCCAGATCGTGACCTGAGCTGAAATCAAGAGTTGGACACTTAACCAGCTAAGCTACCCAGGCACCCCTCTTTTTACTTTTGACAGTACATGTGACAGTATTTTTTTTTCTTTTTTTTTAAATATTTTTATTTATTTCTAGGAGAGAGAGAGAGAGACAGCGTGAGCAGGGGAGGGTCAGAGAGAGAGGGAGACACAGACTCTGAAAAAGGCTCCAGGCTCTGAGCTGGCAGTCAGCACAGAGCCCGACGCGGGGCTCGAACCCACGAACCGCGAGATCATGACCTAAGCAAAAGTCGGACGCTTAACCGACTAAGCCACCCAGGCGCCCGTGACAGTATTTTTTTAAGTATAAAGAGCTGTCTATGAAATTACGATGATAAAAACATCTTAGGATGTATACTTGGTAATTGAAAAAGGAGCTTTTAATCATTCTCCCCACCTTGGATTTTTTTTTTAATTTAAGTTTTTGTTTTAATTCCAGTCAGCATACAGTGTTATATTAGCTTCAGGTCTACAGTATAGTGATTCAGCATATCCAGACATGACCCTGTGCTCATCCAAGTGCATCCTTCACCCCATCACGTGTTTCCTCTCTCCACTCACCACCTCCCCTTCTGGGGACCCCCAGGTTGCCCTTGTTGTGTTTTCTTTCTCGTTTTTCTTTAAACTGCTTTATACCTCACTGAAATGTTTGTGACTTCTTTCCATCATATCTTTTAAAAAAAAATCTGATTGTTTTCTCAGATCTCTGCTCTTGGTTCCTTCACTCTAGGATCTAAAACTGCTCACTGCTGCTTCGATGTCATAATGGTGAACATTGCTTTTAGCCTGATGGGTGTATTTGTGATGTTTGTGTATTTATATGACATTTTTGTTTTTAAAATTCGTTGCAGGCCCACAGAGCTGCGAACACTGAACTTGTGGATGAGGTGTATAACAGAAAATCCGTCCTGCTCATGACAGTAGCTGTGGTTTTGTGCTGCAGCCCCGTCTGTGAGAAACAGGCTTTGTTTGCCCTGTGCAAGGCTGTGAACGAGAGTGGGTTAGAGCCTCACCTCATTAAAAAGGTACATGGGGATGAATGTTTTTTATTATCGCCCTTGGGTAACAATTTTAAAAGTGTAAGCTTATTTTAAAGTGGCACTTGTTAAAGACTTGGAGACAGCTTTATTTTTTAGACCTGGAGTGTTGGAAAGCAGTAACTCTTCAGTGTATGTATATTTGTACGCGACATCATTTACTTTTTACCTCCAGCATGTCACAGGCTGTTCATTGAACTGACAGGGATCACTGACTGATCATAGTGCAGACCAGGCCCTCTGATTGCTTTTACTGAGGGAAACCCATAGAGGAAAGAGCAGTAGCAGGTGTTTTTGCCTGGGAGGTTATGGGTCACGACCTTGGGATCTAGCAGGGCTAGAAGTCAAATCATAGAGCTGTGACACTTTTAAAGTTGCAAGACTGGGAAAGGAACACTGGAGTCCATTCGTGCAGACACATCAGCACATTGTCATTGAATGTTCACCTCTGCCCCATTCCACCACCTCACCTCCATGGTTTGGAAAGTTCCACCCCTTTCTATCTTAGATGTTCATGTGATGAACCATTGATAGACCAGTGGCCTGACCAGCGTCGTCCCCATGGACCCTTAAAATAGGTCAGCCTCTAGGTACTCAGTCTTAGACCAGTTAACCTTTTAACATTTACTAAGTGTTGGCTACATGCCAGGCTCTGTGCTAATTATATTAAATACAGTTTTCTTGTTTAGCATCTCTGAAGTCTAAGTACTTTTATTATCTCCATCTCAGAGATGAAGAATCCAAGGTGTAGAATAGTTGAATGAACGGGTCAAAGTTAGGTGGTAAATAAATAATGAAGGATTTAGATGATTTATTATTTTGTTGATTTCTTAAAACATTGACTTCTTTCTGATTTGTGCAGGTTTTAGAGAAAGTTTCTGAAACTTTTGGGTACAGACATTTAGAAGACTTCATGGCTTCTCATTTGGATTATCTGGTTTTGGAATGGCTGAATCTTCAAGATACTGAACACAGCTTATGTTCTTTTCCTTTTATTTTATTAAACTACACAAATGTTGAGGATTTCTATAGGTAGGTCTACAATGACACATGTGAAGTATGTTCGTTTTAAAATTCGATGGTAATGTTTGGGAGCCCCCCACCCCCACCTGACACACATACACGTTCACACACATGCACACTCATGCACGCACGGAGCTGAGGGGCTGTGTAAGAGGAGAGACAGGGCCGCTTGTTTTAATTAGAATGTACTGGAGGGAATCACTGGATTTAGGATCTGGTCTTCACTGTGTCAGTAAATAGTGCGTAACTTCAGGCAAGCCATAAAAATTCCCCCTGGGCCTTGGTTTTTCAGTGTGTACGGTAAGGAAGTTATGTAGGTCTCTAAGGTCTCTTTCAGCTTTAAGTTTTGGTATTCTTCCCTATGACAAACAAAGATAAATTACTAGTGGCTGATTATTTCTGCATTGTTCTTCCTTTCTGTTCCTTGGCTATGGACCAGTTTGTCATTGTTTTTATTAGATTTAAAATGTAATGCAAAAATACTTAGCTTGCAGATTCCTAACTCTTGAGTAGAAAATTTTGAAAATGGAGAGATCTGGAACAACTAGAGAATAACAGTGTCAGGATGACGGGGAAGTGATTCATTACTCTTCAGTGGTTGTTCTTTCATTTTGGTGATAACAGTATTTATATTCATAGTTTGAATTCAGCGGCACCTGGGGGGCTCAGCCAGTTAAGTGTCCAACTCTTGATTTCAGTTCAGGTCATGGTGTCACAGTTCGTGAGATCTATCCCCGCGTCGGGCTCTGTGCTGACAGTGTGAGCTTGCTTCAGATTCTCTCTCCTTCTCTCTCTCTCTGCCCCTCCCCTGCTTGCGTATGCGCTCTCACTCTCTCAAAATAAGTAAGTAAACATTAGAAAAAATACTTTGAATTCATAAATTTCTTTCACATTTCATTCTACATAAATGAAATAATTTTGCATAAATTCATTATATAGAAAGGAAATTCAGTTCCCACTTTTTTTGATCATAGAATTAGGGTGATATATTCTAAGATCTCCATTTTGTTTTGTTTTTATTTTAATGTTTTATTTATTTCTGAGAGAGAGAGACCGTGTGAGCAGGGGCGGGTCAGAGAGAGAGGGAGGTACAGAATCTGAAACAGGCTCCAGTCTCTGAGGTGGCTGTCAGCACAGAGCCCGATGCGGGCCTCAAACCGACGAACTGTGAGATCATGACCTGAACTGAAGTCGGACACTTAACCGACTGAGCCACCCAGGCGCCCCTAAGATCTCTGTTTTTTTGTATGTGATTATTTAGAATTTACTTAACTTCAATTCTGTGTTTATAAAATTATTGTAAGGATGTTTAGTGATCGAGATAAAATGATGCTCTAATGCTTATTTTATTATTTTAAGGGCTGTATTATAAAATTTGACTTTGAGAGTTATATATAACATACTTCAAATTTTTATATTTTTAGATCTTGTTACAAGGTTTTGATCCCACATCTGGTGATGAGAAGTCGTTTTGATGAGGTGAAGTCCATTGCTAATCAGATTCAAGAGGACTGGAAAACTCTTCTGACACACTGCTTTCCAAAGATTCTTGTAAATATTCTTCCTTACTTTGCCTATGAGGGTACAGGGAACAGTGAGATGGCACAGCAGAGAGAGACGGCTACCAAAGTCTATGATGTGCTCAAGGACGAAAACTTACTAGGAAAACAGGTATGGCTTCACTTTTACCTACTAGCTCTAGGCTGAATGTGGGGCTTGAACTTAGAACCCTGAGATCAGGGATCACTTGCTCTACCAGCTGAACCAGTCACACACCCTCCTCAGCCCCTAATTGATCTGAGATGCAACTTAAAAATTTTCTTTTTAACATGTATTCATTCTGAGAGAGAGAGTGCTCTGTGCAAGTCGGGGAGGGGCAGAGAGAGAGCAAGACACAGAATCTGAAGCAGGGTCCAGGCTCTGAGCTGTCAGCACAGAGCCTGACACGAGACTCGAACCCCTGAGCTGTGAGACTGTGGATTGAGCCAAAGTTGGATGCTTAACAGACTGAGCCACCCAGGTGCCTCCTGAGATGTAACTTTATGTATTTAAGAAAAAAATTTTTATTGACGTTTATTTATTTTTGAAAGACAGAGTGTGAGTGGGGGAGGGCCAGAGAGAGGAGACACAATCCGAAGCAGGCTCCAGGCTCCAGGCTCCAGGCTGTCAGCACAGAGCCCAACGCAGGACTCAAACCCATGGACTGTGAGATCATGACCTGAGCCAAAGTCGGACACTTAACTGACTGAGCCACCCAGGCGCCCCTGAGATACAACTTTAAAGTTTTAAGACCAGTCATCATTTATGCACTAAAATTTAATATGTAGCCATCACTGTCTAGCATAGGCAATCCATGGATTTCTTTATTGTTATTAGTATTCTTGTTTGATTGGATTTTAAATGAAATGTTTTTAATCAGAAAATTTTTTAAAAACTTTGAAATAATTGTATTGCTTTTGTTTTGTAAAATTTATTTTAATTGGCAGTAATACATGAATGCAAGCTGGGTGTTCAATCCACGCAATACTGGACAGTGTATACAAAGTGTTCCTCACTTCTCTTCAGTCCCATTGAGCTCTTTCCTTTAGGAGAGAAGTATGACCCCAAGCTCCCATGCCCTGCTCATTCTTCTTTCCATGATACTTACTACCTTCTAACATGTAATATAAGTTACTTACCAGTGTTGTTATCTTCTCCGCTGTGAGTACTTGGAAGACTGCACTTTCTGCTGTTTTCTTTTCTGCTGGTGTACCCCTGCTATCTAGTACGTAGTCAATACTCATAATTTGAGAAAAACATGGAGTCAAGTATAAAAAGAATCTCACAACTTCTGTTTTTAATAATAATTTATATACAGGAGCTTTGTCTAATGTCAAAGAGGATTGGGGCGCCTGGGTGGCTCAGTCAGTTGAGCATCCGACTTCAGCTCAGGTCATGATCTCACGGTTTGTGGGCTTGAGCCCCGCGTTGGGCTCTGTGCTGACAGCTAGCTCAGAGCCTGGAGCCTGCTTCAGATTCTGTGTCTCCCTCTGTCTCTGACCATCCCCTGCTCACGCTGTCTCTCTCTCAGAAATAAATAAAACCTTTAAAAAAAAATTAAAAAAAAAAGGATTGGTTACTCTCAACTTTTTTTTTATTAATGTAAGTAAGGGATGACTAACCAAAGTTGACTGATGTTAAAATTGCATTTGGATGAACTTCAAAAGACGTTATTTTTTCTTGCCCACTTACTTACATGGAGCCAAGAAATGGAACAAGGTTCCCAGTTGCCTAGATGGACCAGTGCCAGTTAGAGCTGGTTCTCAGTCAGAACATTACAGATTGGGTTTATTATAGAGGAATATGAAACTAGTGAAGCCACTGGTCATTTTTTGTGTAAGAAAATTGATTATTTTTTCTTTTGATATTAATCAGATGGGACCAATTTGTCCTTCCTTATCTCAGGTATACTTTGAAGTGAGGCTGGAGTTTTAAGAGGGCTGAAACCTTGGAAGTGAGGACCTGAATGACTGATGTGTAAGCCTGAGGGAAAGGCTAGCATCTTTACATTTGGTGTCTGTCTTATCACATTTTAAAATGCTTCTGTTATGAGGAAGTATGTTTTCAACCCTCCTTGTACCAAGTAAATCAGCCATTTATTTGCCTGTAAGTTTGGTACACTTGTACTTCCTAACTTAGAGAAGTAATAAGTCCTCCTTTAGGACTTCACGATCATTCGTTCATTCGGCTGGGGTATAACGCAGCAGGCCCACTCTGTATGGTTAGAGGACTTAGGCTCCCCGGGAGGCTGCCTGGCAGGAAGTGGATCGATGGAGAACCTGTTCCTGTCTGGGAGGATTTTAGTTCACTGATGATGACTCAGAATGTGGCATATCAGCCAAGTAGAAATCTGGGGAAAAGTTCTGCAGGGAACAACGAAATGCTTATTGCCAGTTACTGGGAATTCTTAGTAGTAAAGTATTGTTGAGTGAGATAGATTTCCCAAGTGAGTCAGGAGTGGAATGCAGACTGAGAAACTGTGTGGATCAGCGCAGGATTTGGTTGGCAGGAAAATTAGGTTGAGGAATTCAGCACTACAGCGAAAGCCTTTGTCAAAATGATTCTTTAAAATGAAACTAGAGTCAGATGAAGGGAGTCTTGTTTGGTAGGATTGCCTTACTCTCCCCCAGGCTACAGGTCGGTTGCGTAGCAGAAAAAAGTGGAATTAGCTGTATGTCTTGGCAGATCTTAGGTCTTTGGTCCTTCATTTCCTTTCATGGTCACAGACTAATTTTGGAAATGATGCCCTACATTAGCCCTTTAAGCTGTCTTAAAGGTCACAGACATAAGAACTTAAACATTATTTTAATTTTGTATCCTTACAGATTGATCACTTATTCCTTAGTAACTTACCAGAGATAGTTGTGGAGTTACTGATGACGTTACATGAACCATCAACTTCCGGTGCGGGCCAAAGCAGCGACCCCGGGGACTTTTCAGGGTACGGTGTTTTAACCGTGGGGGGTCAGCTGCAGTCTCAGAGTTCCCTTGGGAAGTTTACTGGTTGACACCTTCAAATGTCTGTTTCAGTTTTTAGGCACAGCCAACCTTTTAAATTGTTTCTTTAAAAATAACTACCTTTGACTTGAAGTAATTACTTAGTTGCTCCACCAGAGCCTTCCCGCAGTGATCGCTCTTTCAAGTGGATCACCTTGTTTGCAAATCCATTGACCTTTTTCTTCTCAATCTTTCTGTGATAGTCCGGGATTGTGCCATCTATTTTTTGAAATTTCGTGGGCACATCCGTTTTTTTCTTCTCCTTATCTGTGGCTTGGTTTCTAGATCACCTTTTCTTACGCCCCTTAGCTCTCAGGATCTTAACCGTACTACAGCTTAACTTGGATGTGAGACCCACGTGGCTGTATATGAATGTTACTTTCCCAGCTTGACTGTAAGCTGCTTGAAAGCACCCTTGACGCATTTTGTGTTCCCTACCATGTCAGCTGTGCAAAACAGTAATAATATCCACCAGAGCACTTTTACTGTATAATTTCATTTGGCATAGATAGTGTTTGACTTACCAGTCTTAAGGTGTTAGTGTTTTTACAGTACTACCTTAGGAGTTTAGTTCAGATGTGAAGTGATACCAAGGCTCATTTGTGCAATTGCCACTAACTTCGTAAAAGATTTGTAAGCAAGTCATTTAAAATTAAGTCATGGAGGGAACAGGTATTTAGATATGCTGACTCCTAATACAGAGACTGCGATAAGTCATTGTGATTTTATTTAAAAGCCTGATTTCTCAGTGGAAGAGTAGTTGTAGAGCGTGGGCTTATTATTACTTTGATTTTGTTCTGAAACGATGACCGCCTGTTTTCCTCTGACTCTTAGGGGTTTGGACCCTGCTCCTAACCCGCCTCATTTCCCGTCCCACGTGATCAAAGCAACGTTTGCCTATATCAGTAACTGCCATAAAACCAAGCTGAAAAGCATCTTAGAAATTCTTTCCAAAAGCCCTGTGAGTACACATTCTCATTATAATAACTGAAGAGAGGATTGCTTCTTTTTCAGCTCGAAAATCTGTGTGAGTGGATCCTAAAAAGAAAAAAGGTGAACAAGAGAAAAAATTCATCTAAAGTAATTAAAAAGAAAAACACTCACTTACAAGCTTATATTTTGGTATTTTACCTGTCAGTATTAATTGATGAAGCCTGAATTTCATGACACAACAGTCATGTGTTGGCTCAGGGATTATATGCATTTTTTAAAATTATTTTTTGCTCTCTGAAAACTAGGTAAATTGACAATAGTATTTTAAGATACTAATTTTCTAACTGTAATATTTGCCTTTGGCATCAAGCCAATGCGAAATTCTGTAATTAGTTGTTTTGAATGTAAAATAGGTTTATTATAGCTGAGTATACATGATTACACAAGTTTTTATGAAATGTGTCTTTATTTTCCAGGATTCCTATCAGAAAATTCTTCTAGCCATATGTGAGCAAGCCGCTGAGACAAATAATGTTTATAAAAAGCACAGGATTCTGAAAATATATCACCTATTTGTTAGTTTATTACTGAAAGACATAAAAAGTTCCTTAGGAGGAGCATGGGCCTTTGTTCTTCGAGACGTTATTTACACTTTGATTCATTATATCAACAAAAGGTAAGAAATACATTTAGACCAATATGTAAATTGTTTTTTCTACCTTGTTGGTTGAAAATTTACATCGAAAATGGAGAAGCCAGGGTATTATTTTCTTTGTTTTACTTTATAATATGTATCTACCTAATATTTTTAAAAAGTTGGAATACCATTTCTTCATCGTGAAAAATATTAGTACTGAGGGTCTTCAACACTTAAAAAAATTATTTTTCATGTTTATTTTTGAGAGAGACAGAGAGTGAGCCAGAGAGGGGCAGAGAGAGGGAGACACAAAATCTGAAGCAGACTCCAGGCTCCAAACTTTAAGTACAGAGCCTGATATGGGGCTTGAATCTACAAGGTGCCAGATCATGACCTGAGCCAAAGTTGGACGCTTAACCAACTGAGCCAGCCAGGTGCCACAACTCAGCATTTTAAAATAAACGAATTTTAGATGGCCTGAAATATCTATGTTACTATAGCGGTTCTGGTCACCAGTTCCTGGCTCTGTGTGTGTGTGTTTGTGTCTGTGTCTGTGTGTGTGTCTGTGTCTTTGTGTGTGTGTATGTCTGTGTCTGGAGAGTTTCACACGTGCACACACAAGGAATTCTCCAGACACCTGCTGGGTGTTCTACAGTTGAACTCAGATGTAGCCGGTTGGTTTCAGACCCCACAGATTGAGGGCTCAGTCCTGCAGACCGCTGGCCCCTCCTTCCTTTCCGATGGCGGTCACTAGCCCAGCTTGGCACGTGCGCTGACCAGCCAGCTACACACTGGGGGCTCCAGTTTGAGTCATTTTTAGAGCTGCTCTCAGAGCTTAGGAAAGCTGTTTGCTGACTAAAGTACCGGTTTGTTATAGAAGGCCACAGCTCAGGAGCAGCCAGATGGAAGAAATGCGTAGGACCCTGTGTAGGGAAAGTGGGCACCGCGTTGAATGGACTTGACATCCTTATCAGGAATCAGTTGGCCATTGATGTGTGGATTGATTTCTGGATCCTCATTTCCGTGCTTTTGGTTTGCCCTTGTGCCAGTACCTCACTGGGTTTTCTGTTGTTTTTTATTTGTTTTTTCTGTTTCCTTGTTTTTGTTTTTAGAGAGAGCACAAGTGGGAAGGAGAGGGAGAGAGAATCTTAAGCAGCCTCCATGCTCAGCATGTGGGGCTCAGTCCCACAACCCTGGGATCAAGACCTGAGCTGAAATTAAGAGTCAGGTGCTCAACCCTCTGACCCACCCAGCAGCCCCAGTCAGATTTCTTTTTAATTGTTGTATGAATTCTTTATGTAATTTGGGTATTAACCCTCATCAGATAATCATTTGGAGATATCTTATATCTTGTTTTGTAGATAATTGCCTTTGCTGTGCCAAAGCTTTTTTTTTTTTTGATATATATATATATATTTTTTTTTTTTTTTTGGGCTTTTGTTTGCCTGAGGAGACACCTAGAAAACTGTTTCTGTGGCTGATGTCAGAGAAGTTACTGAGTTTTCTTCCAGGAGTTCTGTGGTTTCAGGCTTCATGTTTAGGTGTAATGCATTTTGGGTTTACAACTTATGTGTATGTGTATATGTATGGTTTAAGAAAGTGGTTTAGTTTCGGGGCACCTGCGTGGCTCAGTCGGTTAAGTGTCTGACTTCGGCTCGGATCCTGATCTCACAGTTCATGGGTTCGAGCCCCGCATCGGGTTCTGTGCTGACAGCTCAGAGCCTGGAGCTGCTTCGGATTCTGTCTCCCTCTCTCTCTGCCCCTCCCCTGGTCATGCTGTATCTCTCTCTCTCAGAAATAAATAAAACATAAAAAAAAAGAAAGTGGTTTATGGTTTAGTTTCATTCTTTGGCATGTAGCTGTAGCTGTTTGGTTTTCCCAGCACCGATTGTTGAGGTTACTGTGTTTCCCTTGTTGTATATTTTTGCCTCCTTTGCTGTAGATGAAGTGACTAGAAAAGTGTGGATTTAAGGGCTCTCTGTTTTGTTCTGAAAACTGGCTGTTTTACTGTTATAATGTGGTAACTGGGGAAATCACGCTCCTCCCTTCCCCAGGATTTGACTTCTTTACCTAATTGTTGAAGGCTGTAGTGGGCCATCTGTTTCATGAGTGTACGGACTCTCTTTGCCAAGGGTGTGTTCCTCGTGTGTGTGGCTACTGAGGAGTGTCCCTTGTGTTCAGGTAGTGTTTTGGCAGAGATTTCTGTGAATGCTGGGAGCGAGTAAGTGGTTGAGTGGGTGGGAGAGAGACAGAATGAATCTTCCCAGCTCCTGCAGGTGGGCTCTGTGTGAGAACTCCCCTTCACAGGCAGGTTCGCACCGAGCCTAGGGACTAGCCCAGTGTGAACGTACGATCTTCTTGGGTATTTTTTGAGCAAGCTTCTTAACCCTGGGCGTATGTATGGCTTTCTTGGCCTCCCAGATATGTGAGTGATTTTGAATGCTCTAATTTCAGAAGGAAACTTTCTTTCCAGCTTCTTGTCCTAGGCTTTAAGCGGTCTCTTATGTGTGTGAACAATAATCTTTTACCCCTCACGACTGTGGGTAGTTGGCCAGTGTTATTTACGGTGCTTTTGAGCCCTGCTCATGGCTCTTCCAGCCTGGGGAGATGCAAGTTAGACAAACCAGAGTGAAGGCAGCCACCCTTCAGGGAGCTTCCAGACAGGCTTAGGACAGATAGACACGGTCATTAGCAAATACGGTCTGCTGTGCTCTATCCAGAGCAAAGGGCCAGGACCCCACGCCAGGAACAGGGGCCGTTAGTTTTTTCCATCACATCCACCAAGCTGGGGAGGGAGTATCGAGGCAGAGGCAGGTGGACACCGTAAAACTTCCTACAGTTTTTTTAAGTCTTTTTTTTTTTTTAAAACGTTTATTTATTTATTTATTTATTTAGAGATTGCGCATGTGCGAGGGAGCATGGGAGAGGCAGGGAGAGAGAGAAGGAGAGAGAGAGAGAGAGAGAGAGAGAGAGAGCGAGAGAGAGAGAGAGAATCCCAAGCAGGGTCTGAGCTGTCAGTACACATCCCAGCGCAGGGCTCAAACCCATGAACTGTGAGATCATGACCTGAGCTGAAGCCAGGCTCTTAACCTACTGAGCCACCAGGTGCCCCTCCAACAGTTAAGTTGCTGGGGTTTTTTGTTTGTTTTTGTTTATATTTTAGCGTTTGCTTGACTGCTGTAAATGTTTGCCTGTTGGACAGAGTGCTGCTTGGCCTGTTTTTCAGCATTTCTGTCAGGAGGGGTTTGGAACTGTCCACTCTGTCATTTTGCTGTTGTCACTTCACTTTCTGGGTTTTAAATCATTAAGGAATTAGATATGAAAGTGACGTTTATGTAAGGGCCACTTCAGAATGAGAGCTGCAGAAGAAAAATGACTTTTAAGTGAGCTCATATTGAAGCAGTTTCCTAGAACTTACTGTTTCTTCCCCGTGTCACAGGCCTTCTCGTTTCATGGATGTGTCGTTACGAAGCTTCTCCCTGTGTTGTGACCTGTTAAGCTGTGTTTGCCACACAGCCGTCACTTACTGCAAGGATGCTCTAGAAAATCATCTTCATGTCATTGTCGGCACACTCATACCCCTTGTGGATGATCAGATGGAGGTTCGGGAACAGGTAACTCCCCAGATCATCTTCGCAGAGGTGTTTGAAATACATGGATAAAGCGTTCTCGGGAGGAGCTGAACATTTTTATGTCTCGTTGGTGCAGTGAGTCATTTTAGTGAAAATATTCTTTGAAAAATGTTGGAAAAACATTTTCAGTGAATAAGCCTTGTCATCATTTAATTACAGAGCACCTAGTAATTTTTTTTTAGTTTTTTTACTTTTGTATTTACTTTGAAAGAGAGACAGCACGAGTGGGGGAGGCGCAGGGAGAGGGAGAGAGTCCCAAGCAGGCTCCGCACTGTCAGTACAGAGCCCGATGTGGAGCTCGAACCCATGAAACCTTGAGATCATGACCTGAGCTGAAAACGAGTTGGATGCTTAACCGATTGAACCACTCAGGTGCCCCCAGTAATTTTGATCTAACAAATTATCTCATAGGTCTGTCTCTTACTTAGTTTGGAGTATAGAGGTAATGAAGACCAGGGACAGCCCTTCCACTGCTGTGATGGTGTGTGAGATGTTACTTAAAACAAAATGTGCTAGTAATACTGGCGTTTCTCTACCCCAGGGCCCTTGCTATTGCAGCAACTTACGTACTTGTTGATTCATTTGAAAACAGTAATAGCGGTATTATAGAATTAATTAGAATATTTTATCTGAACTAGGTCAGTAGAGTTTTTATCACTTAATATAGTAAGTTTGGCTGTTTTACTTTAAAATATAATTAAACCATTTTTCCCTTTTGACTTTTTTTCTTTTTTAAATTATGTTTAGGTATTGGACTTGTTGAAGTACTTAGTGATAGATAACAAGGATAATGAAAACCTCTACATGACAATTAAACTCTTAGATCCTTTTCCTGACCATGATGTCTTTAAGGATTTGCGTCTTACTCAGCAGAAAATTAAATACAGTAAAGGACCCTTTTCACTTTTGGAGGTAATAATTATTCCATCATCTTACTATTTTGTATTAGGATTAAGAGCGGTACTTTTTGAAAACTTCTGATTCTCTAAAAGTAAGAAACTGAGTCTTTTAAAAAAATTGTGATAAATGAGATTTATCCTCACCAAATAAAAAAGTGAATCTTAATATTTCCTTTTGTATTGCAGTAAAATTATAAATATTAAGGTATTTTTGGTGAAGATTTGAAACTAAATTTTGAAGAAATGTGATATAAAATATGCTTGATTTTCATATGCATCAGATCCATTAATTTCTCAAAATTACTATGATCTTTTAAGGGACAATTTCACATTTAAATTAGAGATGATATTTGACTTTTTAAACAGTTTTTCAAGTTTTAATCTTAATCTTTATAAACTTGAAAATTATGTTCAAGTGTATTTTTTAGTGTGAATTTTGTTATAATTTTAAAACCATACTCTGTATTTGACTACATATCAATGTGATAATATGGCTAAATGTAGTAAGGTATAAAACTAGAGTTATAGTACTAAATAAGTAAAAATTTAAGCTTTTCCCTTGGAGTATGTCAGTTACAATCTTAAAATCTTAAATATGTTCTCGTGAGCGAGTTGTGGTTAAAACATTGGCAAAAAAAAAAAAACCACATTGTGGATTTGAAATGGCAGAAGTTGTTTATATCTACCTTTTTTGGTAGTAATAGTGCTGTGAGTCAGGGTCTGTGAAAGGCACTTACTAATTCTTTGAGTTTTATTTCACAGACTTCATACAAATAAAAAAACCAAGTTACGTTTTTAACTGATTTTCTCTTTTAGGAAATAAACCATTTTCTCTCCGTGAGTGTTTACGATGCACTTCCTTTGACAAGGCTCGAAGGGCTGAAGGATCTCCGCAGACAGCTGGCACAGCATAAAGACGAGATGATGGATCTCGTGCGAGCGTCTCAGGGTACTAATGTCACACTGCGGGTTATGTGACCTGTTTCCTTTTGACAGAGTTTTGTAAACTCTTGCTCTTTGTTGAATTGCCAGGGACTAAGTTTCGACCCTCACCCTTTAGTTTAGACCTCTATCATTACTCTTCTAACCAGAAAAGAGATTATAACGCGGTCTCCTCACCTCGAATCACCCCCATTTTATCCTTCCTCTGCACCTCAGCCAGGATAATTTCTTTAAACCCAAACATGATTGTGTTATTCTACTGCCTGAAAAGTGTTAATCACTTCCTGCCACCTGAGAGACAAATTTGAGATCCTCAGAGCCGTGCGTACAGATAGTCACCCTACCTCTTACTCCAGAACATGTTCATGGGAGAAACGTATCCTGCTTACAGCCTCTTAGCCATGTGTGTACATGTGCATAATTGGGTGTGTGTGTGTGTGTGTGTGTTTTTCTGTATACACATACTTCTACATGTGTTTCTAGCTTTTTTTAATTTAAGAAAACGTTCATTTTTATGTTAGTTTAGGTTTCTGTAATATTGTACTGAGAAGAAATTTTCTCTACTTAACATTTTGATTTTCATCTTGTACCCATTGATGTTATATTTCCATTGTGTGATTTTTTTTTCCCCAGTTATTTTAAAAACTAACTTTGGTTTCAACACTCTGAGCTCAGAGCTCATAGCACATTTGTCCTGAGATGTGTGTGTATTTGTAAAGATAAGCAGCTCTGTCTTGTTCTTGTGTGTTTGGGTAATTCTTTGGTCTAGACTTGTCCAGTAGCTGTTCGTACCTATGTAAGTTTCAGTGAATTAAAAGTTCAATAAAATTTAACATTTAGTTTCTTTATTGTACTAGCTCATGTCAGATTCTCAGGAGTAAGTAAACTAGTGGCAGTTGTTGGACAGTGCAAATTATAGAACATTTCAATCATTGCAGAAAATTCTATTGGATATTGCTGGTCTGGACTGAATGCTAGATATTAAAGAACAAGACGTGCTCCCAGGGTCTCTTCCAGGTTGATGTTGAATGATTTTTGTATTTCTTACTGTGATTTTGCTAAGGTATCGGCTTATCTGTACAACATATGAAGACATTTCTCTTTCTCTGTCTGCCAAATATTTCCAGTCATTTTTACATCGTTCTGTTTTAGAAGTTGAGATATGTTCACTGTATAATTTTTGACATTCTCATTTTTAAAACCTTGGTTTAAAAAAAAATCTTGACAAAAGTGTTTTAGTCAGATAATGTAATATATAAGCGTGTTGTAAAGAAATGTGTATTTTTCCGGTGTAGTTGAAACTAAGTTTTTCAAAACTCCTCCTAGAAAACCCCCAAGATGGCGTCATGGTGAAACTAATCGTCAACTTGTTGCAGTTATGCAAGATGGCGGTGAGCCACACTGGGGAAAGACAAGTTTTAGGTAAATTCTGGCTAAGTGAATGTGGGTTTTTCTGTTTGAGAGGCCATCTTTGTTTTCACAATCAGCAGAAGTTTGTCATTTGGAATATTGGGGAAACGTGAGGTGCTCGCTGAGGTATATTGCTGTCTATTTCAGATGCCCTTAAGCAGCACTCCTTTCACATTTCCTTCCTTAAACATTTACAAAAGTGAGAAGTTAGCAATATATGCATGTGCAAAACTGTTCTTTTGAAAAGGCCTTGTTTATCTTTAGGATAATCAGAAATATCTGTTCGTAGCATTAAGTTGTAAATAAATCAACTTTTGATACATATTGTGCATGTAACTGATTAGTACTTCGTCTTTTTTAGGACAGAAGTAAGATGAGGATTTGGAGGGCTAGATGAATTAAACTCAGATACTAAAACCACATTCGAGGCACTTGAGTGGCTCACTTGATTGAGTGACCAACTTTAGCTCAGGTCATGATCTTGCCGTTCACGAGTTTGAGCCCTGCATCAGGCTCTGTGCTGATAGCTCAGAGCCTGGAGCCTGCTTCAGATTCTGTGTCTCCCTCTGTCTGCTCCTCCCCCTCCTCCACTTACGTTGTCTGCCTACCCACCTCTCCGAAACAAATAAACATTAAAAAAAAATTAGAACCACATTCAAGTCCTGCACTGTTTGTGGGGTATCCTGGTGTAAGATAAAGGACCACCATGCATCCTGCCTAGAAGAGGTGTTTCGACTTAGGGATCACAGGCCGCAAACAATGATGAAGTCGGCTTGGAGTTGTCATGACAGCACTGATTCTGCTAAGAAAAATGGCAGGAATAAGAGGTCCTTCAGATACTATTTTCTCCCAGTGGAATCTTCCTTAACATCTCACGGGGAGCCTGGTATCTGGGGCAGGTTTTTTGTAAATGTTTTTATTGAAATATACCGTACATACAGAAGAGTGTACAGATGATAGGTAAATAACTTGAAAGTTTTTCACAAACAGAACACACCTGTGCATCTAACACCCAGACCAGGAAATAGAACCTTATCAACACCCTAGAAGTTTCCTTTGACCAAGGAGTTTACACCCCTCCATGGTGACACTGTTTCTAGAGACAAACCTGATGTGCTACAGGAACCCTAAGGGGCTTTCCTGTGTAGCATGAATCTTAGTACGGTTTTATTAAGTAGCCACGGCTCACATCATACTTAGTGGTGAAAGATAGAAAGCTTTCGCCCTCAGATCAGGAAAGAGACCGGGTTGCCCTCTTTCACCAGTGCTGTTCCAAGTTGTACTGGAAATTCTAGCCAGAGCAGTGGGACAAGAAGAGAAAAAGCGTCCAAATTGGAAAGGGAGAAGTAAAACTGTCTCTATCCACACATGACGTCATCCTGTATCTAGAAAATCCTAGAGAATCTACCAGAAAGCTACTGTAACAGAGCTAATAAATGAGTCGCAGTTGCAGGATATAAGATCCATACACAAAATTGAGTTGTGATTATGTACACCAGCAGCAAATAATCTACAAAGAAAATTTCATTCCATTTACCATTCTGTTTATATATAATAGCATCTAAGAGAGTTCAATACCTGGGGATAAATTTAATCAAGGGAGTGAAATACTTGTACACAATCTGTTTGTTAGAAGTGGATCACCAAGGATACCCCCACTGAAGGGGAGAGGAATCAGACTCCACCTTTTGGAAGGAAAGCTCTCAAAAATTTGTGAACATATTTTAATAAATTTCAGCACGCCTGGGAATGGGAGAGTTCTCTGGCATGCAGAAACTGCTCTGTTCTCATCTGGGTAGTAATAATACAGGTGGAAAAAACGGTGTGTGAATTTTCACTGAACTGAGCATTTAAGATTTGTGTGTTTTGTGTATGTAATACTTCAAAAAATTTTTAACAGGCTTAAAGTCTGTTGATATGTTCATACAGTAGCTGTGTTTACACTTTCATCCTTAATATCTGTATTTTATTACTGACTTCTCTCTCCTAGATATGATTTTATATGGGATTTATTTTGCCTACATGGATATATAAAAGAAACGATACAATGGATTGCAGCTTCTTTAATCTAGTCCGTCTTTGATTAACCACGTAAATCTTGGAGGATGACAAAACATTATATTTTTGAAATTAAAAAAGTTGTTTTATGGAAGAGCTCTCAGCTACAAGTGTGCTCACAAGGACTTTCTCTCTACAGAGGCTGTTGGGAGCTGCCTGGGAGAAGTGGGTCCAGTAGATTTCTCGACGATAGCCATACAGCATAGCAGAGATACATCTTCTGCCAAGGCCCTCGAGTTCTTTGAAGATAAAGAACTTCAATGGACCTTCCTAACGCTGACCTACCTGAATAATACGCTGGTAGAAGATTGGTGAGTATTTAATGCTTTATATCTGATAGCACCTACCTCGTCTTATGTTCAGGGAGGATGATACTTTACATAAATGAACATCTCTCATAAATGAACTGTTCTCCTTTAAGCTGCCATACTTTGTTTTTAAGTTTATTCATTTTGAGAGAGAGCATGTACACATGAAGGGGAAAGGCAGAGAGAGGAAAGGGAGAGGAAGAATCCCCGACACGGGGCTTGAACCCACATGCCATGAGATCATGACCTCAGCTGGAGTCAAGAGCCGGATACTCAACTGAGCGAGCCACCCAGGCGTCCCATAAATTGCCATATTTGTAGTCTCAGGTATTTTAATGAAAATTGCTCAATTTTTATTAATTCACATAATCACTAAAACCCTGCTCTGTGCCAGGCTCTGGATTCACTGATGAGCACACCAGAGGAGGGCCACGTGAAATCTTAGTGAGAGTAGACTAGAGAAACAATAAGAAAAGTACCGGGTGGTTCTGTACAGAACATTAAAACAGAATTGCAAAAGGGCATGTTTGGGGCACTTGTCAAGATCACAGGTGCTGCTCTCCTCTCATTTAGAGAATTCTGGTCCTTTTCAAGTAAGTCCTGGAGCAGAAGCTTCCTAACTCCAACAGTCTTCAGCTTAGAGTTTTCTTTTGCCCATTTATTCGTTAAGCCAGTAAAAATTGCCAGATACTATCCTGACTTCTGCTTGGTGGCTGTGAGATCACTTTGGCTTTCTTTCTGCACCAGCCCCTGCCCCGTTTGTCTATCTATTTACTTATTTATTTTTGATGTACGTGAGCACCTCATCACCACCATTTCAGGGACGGTGGGTTCAGAGGAATTTTGCCCACCACCAGACACCCTTCTAAGGTAATAAGGTGTTTGCTTACAACTGCCCCACCTCTCAGAGAATAAATAATTGGTAGTAATGTCTACCTGACACGTTCTCATTGTATCTTTCTCTGTTCTTGTTACAGTAAAAATGCTGACTGCATTTCTTTCTCAACATTTTATTTAAAAAATTATCAAACCTACAGAAAAGTTGAAAGAATTTTACAGCAAATACCCATATACTCACCACCTAGATTCTATACGTACTGTTTCACTGCTGTCTCTCCTTCATCACCTCAAGCCATCCTTCTATCCACTTATTAATCCATCTCAGTTAAACTGTGTTTCAAAGTGTACAAGGCAGTCATTGGAGGTGTTTCCACAGAAAATTGGCAGGCAGCATTCACTACATGGTAATTTTGCAGTTGGCTCTTCTGAAAAGGGTGGGCGAAGATATTAGTGTGACTTAAGCTGTAAAGCCATAAGGAACCCTTTTGTGTAAGATGAAACAAATCATTACGTTTGAGGGGCCTCGGGTCCACCAAGGGGATGTTGACCAGAGGATTCCCACCACAGCTGCTCCTGGAAGGCTGTGTGAGCAGCTGTCACCCTGCTGATCACCGATTGCTGATGGGTGTGAGCGGGAATGAGGTGCAGGTGATAAGGGATGAAACATTCCAGACAGGGAGATAATTCCAGAGTGGGGATGAGCGTGGTGTGTCTGAGCAGCAGAAAGAAGCCTGGTATGGAAGACGATGGTATAGATGAAATTCGAAAGGTAGGACTAATTCTGAATAAGAAATATTGATTATATTTGAAACATACATGAAAGCCATGGAGTTTTGAGCAGAGTAGTGTCAAGATGCAGCCTACGCTTTCACTCCGGTTTTTATGTGGCAAACGGCTTGGGAGGGGAAACAGGAGGCCCAGTTACGGAGCAGCTGGGGTGGTCAGAGGGGGAACGATGGTGACTCAGGTTAGGGTGATGGGGTCAGAGGGCAGCTGGAACGTCACTGGAGCCAAGGTGTGTTTTTAACAGATAGCTGGCAGGACTCAGTTGCTGATCAGTCAGCTGTGGAGGAGCGAGGGAGAGGGGATGAAAGGTGAATCCAGATGCTCCCACGTCTTAAGTTGAGAAACTCCTGAGAGGAAGTAAGCCTTTATTTCATACCTCATCATCCGTTTATGGGGTCAGGCTTTTTGACATTTTTGTCCACTTGTATTTTCAGCCTTCTTGTATTGCAGCCCTCCTTTACCTAATATGTTGCAAAGCAAAAGGACCTTCAGGGTTTGGTTACAGGTTTCAGGTGCCTTACCTCCTAATCCTCAACTAGGTTCCGGTCAGAATACGTGTGTACTTACCGTTTGTTTAAAATTGTTGCAGACTTGGGGCGCCTGGGTGGCTCAGGCAGTTGAGCATCCAACTTCCGCTCAGGCCATGATCTCGCAGTTCATGGGTTCAAGCCCAGCTCCGGGCTCTGCTGACAGCTAGCTCAGAGCCTGGAGCTGCTTCAGATTTTGTGTCTCTCTCTCTCTCTGCTCCTCCCCTCCCCACCCCCCCCTTTCTCTCTGTCTCTCTCTCAAAAATAAACATTAAAAAAATAAATGAAATAAAACTGTTCCAGACAATAATTTTATTATTCGAGGGAAAGGCTGTACTTTGTTACCTGAATTATTTATATCTCTTAAAAAAAAAAACACCATCAAAGTATTGTTTTCTCAGGTGATTTTCTGTTCTGTGGTTCTCATTACCCATTTGTTAGTGTTATTTACAAGTATTTCTTTTTCTGAGTACTTTTAGCTTAGAGTAGTCATAATATAAACTTTAAGTGAAGGGAATTGCTGCAGTGATTAACATCTCAGGTATACTGAAGAAATATGAAAAATTCTTTGATAATTTTGGATAGAATTTTATAGGTGTAAAATTTCCTCATGTTAAAACTGCCTAACACAGTTGACCTTTACGTAAAGTTTACAGTTGAACAACACAGATTTGAACTGTGTGGATTTTTTTTGATAAACACAGCACAGTACTGTACATATATTTTTATCTTCCTTAGGATGTTTTTTTTTACTAACTTTTTTTAATTTATTTTTTTAAAGTTTATTGTCAAGTTAGTTTACATATAACACTCAGTGCTCATCCCAACAAGTACCCTCCTCCATGCCCATCACCCCCCTTCCCCTTTCCCCTGTCCTCCCCTTAGCCCTCAAGGATTTACTTAAAAACATAGTTTTTCTGTAGCTTACTTTTTTTTGTAGAAACACAGTATATAACACATAGAACATATAAAATATCTGTTAATTGACTGTTTATCTTATCAGCAAGGCTTCTGGTCAATAGCAGGTTGTTAGTGGTTAAGTGTTGGGAGGGGGTCAAGAGTTTTATGCAGATATTTGACTGTGGGGGAATCAGCACTCCTAACTTCTGCATTATTTAAGGATCACCTGTAATGTAAATTTATTTTAAACTTTTTATTAGAAGTTGCTTCACGTCCATAGTCGATATAGTTTATCGGCATTTGTATCAACTATACTTTATAGGCATTTGAATTATATATGTTTTTCAGTGTCAAAGTGCGATCAGCTGCTGTTACCTGTCTGAAAAGTATTTTAGCCACAAAGACTGGACATACTTTCTGGGAGATTTATAAGAGGACGACTGATCCCATGCTTATCTATCTACAGCCTTTTAGAACCTCGAGAAAAAAGGTCTGTCAAATAATGAATGTTTATTGAATGCCCACTGTGTCTAAAACAGTTGTATTTGCTGTGGGATATGACCGTCAAGTTTCTTAAGTAATATTATACTAACATTTAATCTTTCTTGTAAGTAATTCCAACTGTACTTCTTGAATCCAGGGGATTTCTGTTTTTAATTACAGCAGTGTGGAATAGTTGAGAGATAGAAAGCTCAACTTTTGATTGACATGGAGGATCAGAGGAGTTTTCAGTGATAGCCCTTATTTCTTAGAAAACCTTTATGTTGACCCCTCGAAAGTCATTGGTGTTGGGAGTGATGTGTGGGTATTATGCAACAAGCAAGAGCTTATTCCCAGTGGAAGTTAAAATAGCACCATCCCCTCGTGAAATAGAAGATGGCCTGTAGATTTCTCCTTTTCCCATGATATTACCATTGCAAGACTCTACTGGAAGTAAATATTTAAGAACTCTTCCCTCTCTGTTAGTCTAAGCTTTCCTCTTTAGTATTTTCTCTTCATAAAGCAACTGGGAAATAGAATTTTCACCAAATTAACTTCAGGACATATATCCATTATTGTAATAGTCTTTTTAATAGATCATCAATATAATTTTGGTCTCTGTGAAATTACTAGTAATATAAAGTGTTAATAAAACCAGTTATCTAAGGCATAAAACACTGTAGTTTTAACACTTTGAAATCTGATTTGATCTTGAAGTCAGTTCTGTGTGGTTGACTTGGACTGGTTCTGTTTACAAGATGGGTGAGGCAGAGAGTCTGTGATTCATGTAATACACTCTGGTGAGCTAAGAGTCGAACTCAAGCATCCTGCTGTGTAGTCCAGTAACTTTTGGCATACCGCTCTGCCTTTTATGTAAACATAAGTGTATTTTAATTTTAAAAGGTACCCATTGCCCCCAGATTTAGTTGTAACTGTATTTAGTTTGGTTTGGAAACAGATTTGGTTTGTTTTATCTTTTTTAATTTTTTTAACGTTTTATTTACTTTTGAGAGAAAGGTAGACACAGTGTGAGTAGGGGAGGGTCAGAGAGAGAGGGAGACACAGAATCCAAAGCAGGCTCCAGGCTCTGAGCTAGTGGTCAGCACAGAACCTGACGCGGGGCTCGAACCCACAAACCGTGAGATCATGACTTGAGCCAAAGTTGGCCACCCAACCGACTGAGCCACCCAGGCGCCCCTGGACACAGATTTGTTTATGCCTGGATATTTGTTCTGCTTAGGAAAGATGAAGTGTATTTCTCATTACCTAGCTTACATGTGTTGACTGTTTTCTTTCTAGTTTTTAGAGGTACCCACACTGGACAAAGAAAGTCCTTTCGAAGGCCTGGACGATACGAGCCTGTGGAGTCCTCAAAGTGGAAATCATGACATTTGGATAAAGAGGCTGACTTGTGCTTTTCTGGATAGCGGAGGCACAAAGAGTGAAATTCTTCAGTTATTAAAGCCAATGTGTGAAGTAAGATTAAGATTAATTATTCTGACTTAATTTCTCCCTTCCTACCTTTGCTGATTTTATTTGAGCCTTCTCTTAATAGCTTCCTTTTCTGGTCACGTCCCATGCGGCTTCTGTTTACACGGTTCTGGTCTGCAGATCTGTGGTCCTCACGTCATTTTCAGAGAGCAGCGCTCACGCTTGGCCATTGGGAACCCATCGTTGGGGCGTGTTTAAGTACGCAGCTATCACTTTGTGCGATCGGTTTCAGCTGTGGGCCAGCTACATCCTGGATGAGCTCTAAAGGGTGCCACTAATGATAGTTAAAATACTGATGGTTGTAAATTATTTATATGAACCAAAAATCTGCTGTTTTTTATTAGTTTATTTTTTTCTAAGGTGCTTGTGATTCCCTTTCCCTGGTGTGTACTTTCTTGAGTGAGAAAAGAGCTAGGGTAGCAGTTAACATTGCTCTTTTATTTTTGAAGTTACAGCACAGTTTATTTCATTAGGGACTAAAGGTACATACCCAATTAAACACAAAATTTATGTGCTTTTATCAAATGTGCCAGCAAAATAGTACAAGATGATGATGCCCTAAGACATCAAAAGCTGCACAGTTCAATAGTAGTGTGAAAATAGATATTCTATCTGACTGGCTCAAACATCTACCAGTTCACACTGATAGAGAAATGAGTATTTTGGTAAAGTGCCCTTGTTGAAACCAGTTTAAGAAGCAGTCCTGGGGCACCTGGGTGGCTCAGTCAGTTAAGCGTCCAACTTCAGCTCAGGTCATGATCTCACGGTTCATGAATTCACGCCCCGCATCAAGCTCTGTGCTGACAGCTCAGAGCTTAGAGCCCGCTTTGGATTCTGTATCTCCCTCTCTCTGCTCCTCCCCTGCTCACACTCTGTCTCTCTCAAAAATAAATAAACATAAAAAAAGAAGTCCTTCCTTCTCCAGAAAAACTGTGGGCAGTGAATAAACTTTCACGCCCTCTGCATTTCTGCATAGCACTTGTGCTGAGTCAGCATGGTGATACTCTGAACTTGCACACATCGCATTTCCCATTAGTGAACATACCTGAGCTTTTTTTTATAAAGTCCTGACTTTGGGCCACAAGATAAAAGGTTCCACATATATATAAAGACAACACCCCAGTTCCAAATACCTTGAATTCTTTACTTCTCAAGCTGCCATTTGACTTGTCTTTAGTTTAAAAAGAATGAATAAAGTGTGTGTTTGGCAGTCTATCATTTGTTTTGTGTGTGTAGTATGTGATAAGTAAGGAAGAGTGTACCCTGACAGAAATAAGGTTGTGTGCTGTTTCATTGTACCATAGGTGTTAAAGTACTTGTCTACACTTTGGAGCAGATCACAATTAAGTACCCACATCATATACCCAGAAATTGGAGTTTATTAAAATAATAAACATTTTAGCATGACTATGGTAGGTTTTCACTGAGTGTAGAAAATACACAAAAATCAGCTCTTCAGCTTTTTTCTTTAACTTTGATCCCCATTTTCATTTATAACAAATTAGAAAGCTGCTTTTTTTTAAAGAATTTTTTTAATGTTGATGTATTTTTAACAGAGAGAGAGGTTGGGGTGGGGCTCAGAGAGACAGACAGAATCCGAAGCAGGCTCCAGGCTCTCTGAGCTGTCAGCACAGGGCTCGATGCAGGGCTGAAACTCACAAACTGTGAGACCATGGCCTGAGCCAAAGTTGGATGCTTAACCGACTGAGCCCCCCAGGCGCCCCAGAAGCTACTTGTTATTAGTAACACTTTTCAGCAGTGAAGTTTTATTCGCAGTAGTGACCTAATAACTTCACTTGTAAGCAGCATCCTATTGCATTGTACTCAGGTGGCCTAGGTTGGAAATGAACAATTGTCACGTCATTAACACGTATGTTTGACACAGATACTCTAGATTAGTTTGATTTGTTTAGGCGCTGCTTGATATATGTGTTTTGGTTGTGTTTTAGAGGTACGTTGAGTTCATGACAGATTCATCTATCATTTTTTTAAGCCAATAATGGAATGAAAATTTTAAGTATGTTATTTTCACTCAGACTCTTGGCTTGATGTGTTTGTATATTCTAGGTGAAAACTGACTTTTGTCAGACTGTGCTCCCATACTTGATTCATGATATTTTACTCCAAGATACAAATGAATCATGGAGAAATCTGCTGTCTACACGCATTCAGGGATTTTTCACTAACTGTTTCAGACACTCCTCACAAACGAGTCGATCCACGACCCCTGCAAATTTGGATTCAGGTATTCTGTTAAATTTGTAACCTTTATACTGTTAGCTTCTCAGTTCTAGAGAAAGGTGGATTTGTTTGAATCTCTTCAGGATGCTTTATTGGTTTAATTCCATAGCATGTAAATATCTATTTCCTCATCTGTAGAATGGAGATGAAAGTTGTAGCCAGTTTTCAATGAGATAATACATATAAGGCACCTAGGATAGTCCATGTTGCAGAGTACTCCCTCAGGGAATTTTGGCTCCTAATAGTGGAGCAACTAAGTGAGCATTCCGTGTGTGTCAGGCACGGGGCTTGGCACGGACACCAGCCACGCAGAGAAGACACCCTACATTCTAGCAGTGGGAGAAGCAGACAAATAGCTGCAAGCATATGCTACGGGTCCCATGTTGGAGAGACGATGAAATGTTCATGGTAAAGCTCTGGCCCCAGCTCATTTTTTTTAAAAAAGCCCTTTTATTACAAAATATTTATTGTGGAAAATAGAAATTAGCAGAAATTAAAAAATTAAGTTGCCCATAATTCTGTGATCAAGGATAACAACAGTTAACATGCAGTACATATCCTTGGAGTTTTTGTAAACAAAAATTAGATTATACTTTATTTACTCACATAACCTTTCTTTTTGTGCTTGATAATATTTACCTTGGTGAGAGCTTATAGCAGGAGAAGTCCCACTGGGAACAGGAACACTGTGCTGTGAGGGTGTGTAATACATCTCTGTGTGCGTGGTTCAGGGACACTGCTGTGTGGGTGTGTAATACACCTATATGTGTGCGTGGTTCAGGGACACTGTGCGGTGTGGGTGTGTAATAATCTGTATATGTGCATGTGGTTCAGGGACACTGCGGTGTGGGTGTGTAATACATCTATATTTTTGTGTGGTTCAGGAACTCTGTGATGTGGGTGTGTAGTACATCTGTATGTGCATGTGGTTCAGGGACACTGTGCGGTGTGGGTGTGTAATACATCTGTATGTGCGTGTGGTTCAGGGACACTGTGCGGTGTGGGTGTCTAATACATCTGTATGTGCGTGTGGTTCAGGGACACTGTGCGGTGTGGGTGTGTAATACATCTTTATGTGCGTGTGGTTCAGGGACACTGTGCGGTGTGGGTGTGTAATAATCTGTATATGTGCATGTGGTTCAGGGACACTGCGGTGTGGGTGTGTAATACATCTATATTTTTGTGTGGTTCAGGAACTCTGTGATGTGGGTGTGTAGTACATCTGTATGTGCATGTGGTTCAGGGACACTGTGCGGTGTGGGTGTGTAATACATCTGTATGTGCGTGTGGTTCAGGGACACTGTGCGGTGTGGGTGTGTAATACATCTGTATGTGCGTGTGGTTCAGGGACACTGTGCGGTGTGGGTGTCTAATACATCTGTATGTGCGTGTGGTTCAGGGACACTGCGGTGGGTGTGTAATACATCTGTATGTGTTTGTGGTTCAGGGACACTGTGTGGTGTGGGTGTGTAATATATCTGTATGTGTGTGTGGTTCAGGGACACTGTGCTGTGTGGGTGTGTAATCTATATGTGTGGGAACACTGCTGTGTGGGTGTGTAATACATCTATGTGTGCGTGGTTCAGGAACACTGCTGTGTGGGTGTGTAATACATCTATGTGTGCGTGGTTCAGGAACACTGTGCTGTGTGGGTGTGTAATACATCTATATTGCATGGTTCAGGAACACTGTGTTTGTGAGTTTATAATGTATATGTGCAGAGTTGAGTGCTTGTTGTGGGTCAGTTTTTCAAACTTAACATTAAATAAAGTAAAAATATCACAAATCTATAATGTTAACTTATTGTCCATAATATGTATCATTAATGTATTTTATGCACAAGCACAAAACCAGGTGCAAATTCCCTTGGTGTACTTGAGACCAGTGCCGTTCTAAGAAAGGATGGATTTACATGCTGTTTTACTGCAGCTGACTTGCTCTCCCAGTTGTGAGGTGGTTCCGGTCACTTTGGCAGAGGCTGTGACTTATCCCAGTTATTTGTATATTGATAAAACTTTTGACACGGCTGTGATGTGACGTAGTTCTGCATTGACAGCACTTACACACCTACCATGTGAAATAATCTAATTATAAACCTAGACCCAAGGAAGCTCGCCTTGGGGTCCAAGGAGATTATAACTTGTCATGTGAATGATTCAAAATACGGTTACATGAATTTTCTTCAGATTATTGGAATGAAATTCATGAAATAATTCTCATAGAGTCTTTGCAAACTAACCTATTATCTCCTGTCCTTAATTTGGGCAATATGGTGTGATTCAGTTACCGGAAAGCATTTAAGCTTTAAATATTAAAATAATCCAGAGTCCCGTTAAAAACGATTTTATTACCCACTGTAAAGTAGTCATTGCCTGTGGTGACCTGGCAGTTCATTCTCATGAACATTGTTTTCATGTTTATCCTGTATATATACATAACTGTGCGATTACCATTCATCAGTAGAAATCTGCCCATTTTATTTCATCTTTGTGTAAAGCGTCAATATCTGTGACCATAAATGAAAATTTAAATTTCACATGTAAAGTTCTGTTGTTTACATGGAAAGTAAATACATATTTGCATCAGATCTGCTGTCTGTCTGTAAGTCTCCCTGCCCTCACTTGATGGTGTCCTGTGCACCTTGGACTCACTTCTCCTGAGCAAACTTGCTATCTTCCTCCCGTCCCCTCCCCACGGCCTCTCTGACCGTGTACCTGGTCAGTGAACCCACTTGCTCAAGCTGGAGGCCTGTCTCAGGTTCACCCGGCTGCCGGGTCCTGCCGGGTCTAAGTCCCGTGAGCCCCTCTGCGGGTCTCTGCCCCCAGCGTCCTCCCTGCCACACAACTGAAATTCTTGCAGTGAGCTCTGGTCGTAGCCACCACAGCTGGTGTGACTCTTGCCTGGACGCTGTCTGCTCCTCTCCGGTCGGATACCGCTTTTCCTGTGTGCCTTTCCTTCTTCAGATGAGGTTCCATCCTGTGTGCCGACCCGTCAGGCCCTCCTCTCACCCACGGGAGGCTCTTGGGCGGGCCAGTCACTTCGTGCTCACAGAAACACTCTGTCTTATTCGGAGTTGTATCCCGAGCGCCCAGTACATAAAAGATCCTCAGTAAGTACTTACTGAGTTGGTGAATTAGCCCCCTTCAGAAATAAAATACAAATTGTAATTAAATTCTCAGTCTTAGTAAGAAGCATAGTAGTTTCTTGCAAAAGAGTAAGAAACGCCATTAAGTTCTGGTCAATTCATACTTAGAACCAGTCTTGTGCCAGGTTACTGCCCACCAGAAGCTTAGATGTGGAGGGAGACAGACACACGCACAGAAGGAAGGACGCGCTTCAGCAAGTCTGCCCGGGACTGAGGAGAGCTGTCTTTCTCTGTCAGACTCAGAGCACTCTTTCCGGGGCTGTGTGGACAAAAGATCTCAGAGGACCATGCTGGCCGTCGTGGACTACATGCGGAGACAGAGGAGGTAACGGAGCGCATGTCGCCTCTGGAGTTCGGGGACTTGGAAGGGGAGCTTGTTACTGTGGCTGCATTTCCACATTATCTGAGGTGACGCTGCTCGCAAGGTGCTATATTTAATTTGTGTGATGCTTATATCCTCTTGAAATCATCCGTATGCAGGTGGTGGCACTTTGGTTAAGCCAATGCCAGGAACTTCCTAAGATAAAAGTTTCTTTGTATGAATCGTGGTCCTCAAAATGTGTGGTTCTGTGTAGTAAGGCTGTGCTACGGGAGTATTTGTTTTTCTGGATTGTGAGAACGGGGTGTACAGGGTAGGGTCTTGTTCCTGCTACCCCTCACGAGGTTTTCACCACTGAGTGCAGGAACTGCTAGAGTGAGTGGTCTGATCTCTGCTGTGCCAGCATTGAGACTTCAGAAGAAATAATGTAGCAGGCCCGCAGCCTGGGCAGCAGGAGGGGGTGTCTACGAGTGTGTCTGATGGTGGCAGCAGTGATTGATGCGGGGTGGGAAGGAGACGTAGGGGAGGAATGAAGAATCCCTTAATGCCTTTACAGCTGTAGCTGTAACTAGAAGCATTTTGTTTCTTGGTGCTTGTTTCACTTCTGAATCATTCAGTGCAAATTCGTCATCCAGGTAGAATGGTATTGACATTGCCAGTCCCTGGAGAAGATAAATATTGTTCACATTCAGTTTTCATTCTGAATAGGCCTTACCAGAGATTCCTTAAGAGAATATGAACCAAGGATGTAAGGACCTCAGTTTATGTCCGGTTCTGGTGCTTTGTGATCTCTGAACTTAAGTTCCTCAGCTGTAGGTTTTTTTGTTTTTTAGTGGTTTTTTTTGTTTTTTATTTTAGAGAGAGCACATGCAAGTGAGGTAGGGTTGAGGGGGATAGAGCGGGAGAGAGAAAATCCCAAGCAGGCTGTGCACTGAGTGTGGAGCCTGACTTGGGGCTTGATCCCACAACTCTGGGATCATGACCTGAGCTGAAATCAAGAGTCAGACGCTCAACCAATCGAGTCACCCAGGCACCCTTCAGTAGCTACAGTTAAGTGTCAGCTCTGTGATAGGCACTGTATTCATCAGCCTGATACATGTTATTTAATCATTGCAACTTCTGTGGAAGATGGATATCATTCCCAGGTTTTACAAATGAGAAAATTAAGCCTCCAAAATCAAAGTTGCTGAAGGTGATATATCTTGTAGGGAAGGGTCCAACTGAACTTGAACCAGGCTGTATGCTGGTCTAAAACCAGTGCTTTTACTCACCTTGTCGCATTTCATTTATAGTGCTGGTTTTAAAAGAGGGGCGGCTGGGTGGTTCAGTCGGTTAAGTGTCCGACTTCCGTTCAGGTCATGATCTCATGGTTTGTGGGCTCGAGCCCTGTGACAGATTCTGTGCTGACAGCTCAGAGCCTGGAGCCTGTCTTTGGATTCTGTGTCTCCCTCTCTCTCTGACCCTCCCCTGCCCCTGCTGTCTCTATCTTTCTCTCAAAAATAAATAAAACCCTTAAAAAAATTTTTTAAAGAGATAGATGATCCCTTCCGATTGTGACCCACTGTTACCCCAGAAGGTTTTTTTTTTAAGTAACTTAGGCAAAAAAAAAAAGAGAGAGAGAAAATAGACTACAATAGGAAAAACATGTACTTGTGTCTTGAAGAAACAGTATTTTCATTAAATTGGTTACTTTTTTTTAATGTTTTATTTATTTCTGAGAGAGAGAGAGAGGCAGTGTGAGCAGGGGAGGGTCAGAGATAGAGGGAGACACAGAATCTGAAACAGGCTCCAGGCTCTGAGCTGGCTGTCAGCACAGAGCCCGACGCAGGGCTCGAACCCACGGACCATGAGATCATGACCTGAGCCGAAGTCGGAAGCTTACCCGGCTGAACCACCCAAGCACCTCAAATTGGTCACTTTTTAAAAAGGATTTCTGTAGGTGTTATTGGATATTCTGTGCAGCCTACCCTTAGCCTAGAATCCATAGACCTCAATGGACCCTCAGTGGAGGGTGAGTGTGAACCCCAAATTTGTATGAGCTGATGATCTATAGCTTTTATCAGATTCTGTATGGGGTTTGTGATCCAAGAAGGGTCAGGTAGGGCTCTTCAGCCGTGGTGTATTAGCCTGTTTACAGCTGTGTGTTGGGGACATGCAGGTTTTGGTTATTTGAATGTACTTTTCTTTATAACACTTGCTACTATTGTGCTGTCTATCAGCATACTTTTCTTTTGATATTGAAGTTAAACAAATGGACATGACTTCGTGTTGAATTTTTCTTTAGGCCTTCCTTAGGAACCGTTTTTGATGATGCTTTCTGGCTGGAGTTGAATTATCTGGAGGTTGCGAAGGTGGCTCAGTCTTGTGCTGCACACTTTACAGCATTGCTCTACGCAGAAATTTACGCAGATAAGAAAAGCATGGATGACCAGGAGAAAAGGTAATGGAAGTTAGACGTTTAGTTTTTGAAATCAGTGTTGACATCATTTCAGTAAAGGCATGTATTTTTATTTTTGCTCCCATTCCCCCATTTAAAAGACATTTTAGATAGACATTTCTATCTATTTAAGTGAAATGATAATATTTTAAAAGATTTAAGTAATTATGCTCTGAAAATAGAGGTGCTTATTCCTTGAGAATTATAGAAATTCTAGGTAGCAAACTCCTAATTCGTCTCTTCATTCCCTATAGTAGGTAGCATTGGGAATTTAATAGAGTGATCAGTAAAAAGTTTTCCAATTCCCTGATTTCAGTGAAATTACTGTAACCATTAATCCCCCAGCTTGATGAAGATCCATTTTCCTCGTTTATTATAACGTAGTGTAACTGATTTCTTCCTGTGACTAAATCTCTTTCATTACTTTGCTATCTACCTGTATTTGTACTAATTTAATTGACTTATCCTCTGAGTTAGAACTCTCTTAGGAGTTGAATAGGTGTTGTCCTAGATCTTAGTAAAAAACAAGAAAGCAAGGAGGTTAAAGAATAGAGAATGCACACTGTTAGCATCTCAGCTGCACTCCTCAGATGTTACTCATTTCAAGTAGCTTAGTGTTTATTTTTCTTCTTAGCCTCATTTTCTCTACCATAGAATCACTCATTTTACAGAATTGCAATGACAAAGATATAATATATTGCTAAATTTCTCATGCTTGCTACTTACAATTTCTACTTTAAATTGTCCTTTGCTACTTAGTTTCTACTTTGGATTGTCCTTAAGCTAGAGACAGTGTAGTTTTTAGACTGTGGAAAACTAGGAGTCAGAATTCAGGTCCTAGTCCAAACGTAAATAAATGAGTTACTTGAACTGATTTCTTAACTTTCTGATTTGGTATTTAATTTCTACTTTTCAACTAAAAACAGAAATCTATAACATGTAGATACTATGTATAATAATGTAATTGATTTGTTCATTATCACTATAGACTGTATGACGACAGTTCTGTTCATTAAGTATGTCACGAGTAAGAAATTGATTGTTGCTTATTCTCAGAGACTTAACATTTGAGTTAGTATCTGCATACTGGGCAGTAGTAATTATGATTTAAATGTGTTTCAGTATCTTGGTTTCATTGTATAGTATTTCTTACTAATCAGGAGTGAATACACTCGTCTCTGAGTATAATGTTTATTTTTGAGAGGGAGAGAGAGAGAGAGAGCATGAGTGGAGGAGGTGCTGAGAGAGAGAGGGAGACACAGAATCTGAAGCAGGCTCCAGGCTCCGAGCTGTCAGCACAGAGCCCAACACTGGGCTTGAACTTATGAACTGTGAGATCGTAACCTGGGCCAAAGTTGGACGTTTAACCAGCTGAGCCATCCAAGCACCCATCTATGAGTATAAATAAAATCACCTTAATGTGTAGATAGGTGACTTTATAGAATTTGGCAAACTTTTGCAGACTTGTTTTACTAACAAGAGGCCCTGAATTTTGACTTGGTTAACTTGAGGAAAAAATAAGTCTTGCAGTTTGCCTTAAGAGTCTGGTTTTAATTTTTTTCCCCAAGTACCTGATGGGAAAGGAAGGGCAGACAGAGAGATGAGCTTGATGGAGGGTAGGGAAAGCCGGTTTTCTTCAGTGACTCAGTTAAGTACCCTAAAGTTTAATTTGTTAACTTGCTCCTGAGAATATATGAGATTTCCAAGTTAGTGTCCATAATTTTTCAGAAAGAAGTGCAAAACTCCCTCAAACAGATTTAGACCAGAGGGGTTCATCCACGACCTCAGTTACGTTGGTGTCCCTGGTACATGAGGCAGCGACTGCCAGGTCCTGGTGGCTCTGGTTTCCTGGATGAATTACAGCCGTAGACGGGCAGAGTCACAACCTCTAGTACTGCCTCCCCTGCTTTCCAAATTTCTTCTCTGAAGACTGTTTTCTGCATGCCCTGCCAGTGAGAAGAATAGATGTAATAGCTGCATATAAAGGTTGCGTGTTGTCGCTACCATTCTCTCAGGCAGCCGTCTCCTCTGTCCCATCCCTACGTGTTCCCTCTGGGAGGTGAATGTCAGCTCGTGTTCTGTGTTCATTCTTTCGGATGCCGTTTTTATCCTAGGAGTGTGAATGCATAAATGTAGTTTAGTTTTCCTCATTTTTGAGCTTCCTGACAAATTAAATGTGTACTTTTCTACAGCTGGTTTTCTCGTTCGATATTTTTATAAAATTTATCGATGCCGTGTGTTGCTGTGGTCAGTACTTTGTCACTGCCACTCCGTGTCCCAGCGGGAGGGTGTCCCGTGATTCGTTCGCTCCTTCCAGCTCAGGATCTGTGTCGAAGGGGAAAATTCCTGGTTTTTAAGGGATGTAAGAAGCTCAGCCTTCTAAAGATAGAGCCAGATTGTTTCTGAAAGTGGTCACACCCGTTTGCATACTTGTCAGAAATGGAGTTGAGGGGCGCCTGGGTGGCTTAGTCGGTTAAACGTCCGACTTTCGCTTAGGTCATGATCTCGCGGTTCGTGGGTTCGAGCCCCGTGTCGGGCTCTGTGCTGACTGCCAGCTCGGAGCCTGGAGCCTGTTTCAGTCTGTGACTCCCTCTCTCTCTGACCCTCCCCTGCTCACTCTGTCTCTCTCTCTCTCCTAGAAATAAATAAAACATTTAAAAAAAAAAAGGAGTTGAGGGAGTGGATCCGTAGAAAGCCTTATATTTGAAGGAGGGAGCCAACAGGAATCAGTTGATAAGTAATAATAGAGGCTCTCTCACTTAGGTTACTATTGATTTTAACATGGCGTTATTATTGTCACCAAGAGTTATAGCTGACGTGACCTCTGCGTTGAAATTACTGACAGGCTGAGTATCCCTGTGTACACGTGTGGCTGAAAGCCATGGCCTCGGAGTACGCAGATCTGTGCTTCCATCCTGCCACTTAGTGGTTTTATGTTGGGTGTGGTTTTATGACCTTGAGTGTGGGTGAATCCCACTGATGCACCTCTTTCTGAACACATTATTATTAGGCTTTTTAATTTTTGCTGACTTATCATGTATTAGGTGGTGTCTTCATGTGGTCCTAATTTGTGTGCCCGTGATTATTAATGAGGCTGAACTTCCAGTAAAACCCCTGACAGAACATTTAGAAATTGGAGAGCATTTATTTTTAAATAGGCATGGCTCTATAAATAAGCATATTTTGGCATAAGGCCTTCCCGTCTATAAGATTATCATTAAAATTTGATTGTCATTAGAAGAATTAATATTCACAATTTTTTCCATTCTAGGTGTAGATCATATTACATTTTAAAGTATAAATGGTTCATTATGTTTTATCTGTGAGCTTGGTCAGTTTTTTCCCATCCAGGGCTATTGTATATGTGTTAATAAGCTTCATAAGAGTATATTCTCATTAAAAGATGTGCTCTTGTGACCAACAGAAGCGTTATGTTTGAAGAAGCAAGCCAAAATACAACGATTTCTAGTTTGAGTGAAAAAAGTAAAGAAGAAACTGGAATAAGTTTACAGGTAAATATTACAGAGACTTTATTATTTGTGAAACTATTTATTGTGTATTATTATTTTGCTATAGAGATGATAGGGCTGTCATTTGATTTTCAAAGTGATGTTACAGTTTGGCCTGAGTGTCCTTTATGTAAGTTCACGGTATAAATGTAAGGCCTCGGGGTAGACAGACTGGAGTTCTAATCCTGACTGCCACTTGTTGTGAAATCTTGTGCAGATTACTCCCTCTTTCCAACATGAGTTCATCATCTGACACTTGGAGGTAAAACCACCTACCTCATGCGGTGCATTTATACCACAGATTTTCTGCCTTGGGAGCCTGTTTTTCTTCTTGATAGCATTTAACATTTGTAATCATATATTCATTTGTTTACTTGTTCATTGTATATCACATCGCAGAGCCGATTCCTTCTATAAATTTTGGTTTTTTTAATGTTTATGTATTTAGAGCAGGGAAGAGGCAGAGAGAGAGAAAGAGAGAATCCCAAGGAGGCTCCACACTGTCAGCGCAGAGCCCAACGTGGGGCTTGATCCCATGAACCGTGAGACCATGACCTGAGCCGAAACCAAGAGTCAGACACTTAACTGACTGAGCCCCCCGGTGTCCCTTCTGTAGTTCTCTTCTGTCTACTCCTGAGTTGGCCATTCTCACTGAATTTTTTGGTTAGCTCAATCCTCTGAAATAACCGTTTCTACCTCTTCACTTTTTCTTCCCTTTGGCTGGAGCTTGCCTCCTGCTTCTCGAAGAAAACAGGAGACGGAGAGGAAGTCCCAGCACGTCTCCCCAGCGAACATGGAAACCGCATGCCTCTGCTCCACTGTGGCCTTTCCTCTTGTTAACAGGTGGAGAAACACTTTCTCCTTCTGGTCAGCACAGTCCTTCCTGTGCTTCGTTGTTCATGACCTCTTCCTTAGGACAGTTGCCCTTTGCTGTGCTGTGCGCCCTTTGGAGGTGTCCACACATGTCACACTTCTCCTGTTCGCGTCATTCCCCTTCAGGGGCGCCTGGCTGGCTGTTCTCTGGGTCGTGGGTTCAAGCCCCACTTTGGGCGTGGAACCTACTTAAACAAAAATAAAGTCGTTTCCCTCTTCTGTTGTGTTCTCTTCTGTCGCCCTTTCTGGCCTCCCTTTCCTTAACAGCTGGACTTGTGAAAGACCGTCCGTGTTTGCTGCCTCCTCCCAGAAGCAGCACTTGCTCCTGGGCCCTGTGAACTTCATACTACTGGTGTGGGGATCGCCTTCCCTTCAGCATCTTCCCTGATGTTTCGCTAACACTTAGCCCCATCAGCCACTCCTGGCATGAAGTCTGTTCTCTGCTGGTTGATCCCATTCTCCTTTCTCTATTCCGTTTGTGCTTTTTTATTGTCTTTCCCTCTTGTACTGAGTCTTTGCAGTATTTTCTGTGTGTGAGACTGCACTAGGCTGGGTATTGAACATTCCAGCACCAAAGGCTCAATTTGACGTTCATGAATAGAAACATTTTAATTAGAATTCAAACTACAGGGACACCTGGGTAGCTCAGTTGGTTGAGCGTCCGACTTTGGCTCAGGTCATGATCTCACAGTTCATGGGTTCAAGCCCCGCATCAGAGGCCCTATGCTGCCAGTTGAGAGCCTGGAGCCTGCTGCGGATTCTGTGTCTCCCCCTCTCTCTCTGCCCCTTCCCCGCTAGTACTCCATCACTCTCCTCTCCTCCCCCATCAAAAATAAACAAGCATTAAAAAAAAGAATTAGAATTACAGAATTATGCCAGTACCCGTGAATTTCTATTTAGTAAATGTTTGCCAGAGCAAGCACCATTAAGGGAGTAAAATTGCTTGATCAGTTTTCTGTGCAGCGGTTTCTAACTTTTTCATTCTTCTTTTGTCTTCCTGGTTTCATTTTTATTTTACTAAGATGGTTTCAAACAGAATCCATTCTGTGTACGTTTTACAACAAAGATTTGAGCCAGCAAGCCTCTGCTTTATCCATACCGAGTTTTACCAATCGTAACATATTGCAGTTTTGGGTTTTCTTTCAAAGAAAATTCATGACCTTTATTTTTACTATAGTTTTCAAGAGTCAGACTTTGCAGATGCTGTTTTCCTGTGTGCAGTTTTTAGTGATTACTTTCGCATGTGTTAACAGCCTGGTGAATTGGGATTGATTTCTTACTTCATTCATGAATCTGTGAGCAGTTCTTTTCAGGGAGTCAGGGATCCACTTGTCTGGGATCAGTGTGTCGTGTTGCTGATTCACGTCTTCGGAACACGTTTCCGTATCACTGGTTTTCACTCTTAGGACTATAGCACGTAGAGTTGGGAGACATGTTGGTAATGGTATAATTTCCAATCTGCTGACTTCGTAAAGTGATATTTATCCCTCCCGATCTTTCTTGCTGCCATGTTGTTAGGACCTGCTCTTAGAGATCTACAGAAGTATAGGAGAGCCGGACAGCCTGTACGGCTGCGGCGGAGGGAAAATGCTCCAGCCCCTTACCAGGTAAAGCGCGAGCTTCTGGGCAGCGGGGGTGGTAGTTCTGTCTGGGAAGGAGCCACGCGCGGGCAGAACTCAAACTGTCGTTACAGGCTACGAACGTACGAGCATGAAGCCATGTGGGGGAAAGCCCTGATGACATATGACCTGGAGACGGCAATCTCCTCGCCCACCCGCCAGGCAGGAATCATCCAGGTGAGTCCCCTGCTCTGGTGAAGCCCTGGGCACGCGGAGGGGATTCTACATCAGGGACGTCTTTAGCCGGCCACGTAAGCTCTGGACCGGGGCGTGGGGGGCAGAACCCCAAGGGCCCCTGACCTGAAAGATAGTGTGGGTTGTTGACCACAGTCTCGTCAGCCTGCGGCAGGAGACGTGTGTCAGCAGTGCACAGTGTGGCAGGTCGCAGGTTACGGACTTCTGCAGAAAGCCTCACGTGGACTCTGACTCGTAGTCTGTGTGACACACGGTCCCGGGAGCTGTCACCTGTGCTGCTGGCTAGTGCCCCTCAGCCAGGCTCCCGTGTCTTTTTGTGTGTTTCAGGGGAGCGTGCGAAACAGTGTGGGGGTTTCAGTGATGGTGCTGTGAGAGTTACTTTTTGTGTTTTGGTTTTTGGTTTTTTTAATGTTTATGGTTTTTTTTTTGAGAGAGAGAGCAGGGGAGGGGGCAGAGAGAGAGGGAGACAGAGGATCTGAAGCAGGCTCCAGAGGGTGGAGAGTCCAATGTGGGGCTCAAACTCACAAACCATGAGATCATGACCTGAGCTGAAGTCGGTTGCTGAGCCGACTAAGCCACCCAGGCGCCCCTACTTTTCATGCTTGGTTGCTCATTTTTCTCTAGTTTTGTTGTCTTTGATTACTTGCTTATTTAATTTTTTTAAACTGCTGCTTAGGCCTTGCAGAATTTGGGACTCTGCCATATCCTTTCCGTCTACCTGAAAGGACTAGATGTGGAAAATAAAGAGTGGTGTGCTGGGCTGCAGGAGCTGTGCTTCCAGGCTGCGTGGAGGAACATGCAGTGGGACCGCTGTGCTTCCACCAAGTAAGAACCCAATGTTTTCTCTGCTTGTAAACAGTGAGCTGTTTTTATTTATTTTTTTAAGTTTATTTATTTTGAGGGAGGAAAAGGGAGAGAGAGTGTGTGCACAAGCAGGGGAGGGGCGGAGAGAGGAGAAGGGGAGAGAGAATCCTAAGCAGGCTTCATGCCGACAGTAGAGAGCCCGACGCAGGGCTCGAACTCAGGAACCGTGAGATCCTGACCTGAGTCAGAATCAGGTGTCAGGTGCTTAACTGACTGAGCCACCCAGGCGCCCCGCAACAAACTGTTTTTAATCTTACTCTGTGACTGTAGTTATGGTGTTTCTCGTGTGTGTACATGCTGCAGGCTGTAGAGGTGCCTGAGTGGCTTAAACATGACAGCCGGAAGCAGTTCTCATACCTGGCTTGAGTTGCACCCTCTTCTCCATCAGGGCGGTCCCACTCCCGCCCCCAGGACATACTTGAAAATGGAAATCTAAAATGTATTTTCTCCTGAGAATCTTTTCGTTGACTGTTTATGAGCCCAAAGAAAAGTGTAGCTCTCACGGATGGACCTTGAGCATGTTATGCTGAGCGAAATAAGTCAGGCAGAGAAGGACAAATACCATATGTTTGCACGTATAGGAGGATTAGGAGGAACTTGATGGAGGAACAAGGGGGAGAAGAAGGGGGGAAATGGTGGGGGAAAGGGAGAGAGGCAAACCATGAGAGGAACTGGAAACGTCACAACTCCAGTGGCATGACGGGAGCTCGGATGCCGGGTGTTGGGTGCGAAGGAGGGGAATTGGGGGAGTGAGCACTGG